CAAAAAATCATGGTGAAATTCCCTATTATTTGATCTGAAAAACGAATGAAAACTCTAACGTGATTCATTCGATTATCAAACATATTGTAGCTACACTTTCAAAAGTCATATTTTTCATATTATGATCATCTCGAAACATATTATCATTCAAGATCAACCAACCAGAACACTATGATACCTACTCACGTAACAACGTAATCAACGTCTTTCTGATGGTGTGATCAATATCATGACAGCTTCAGCTACCTTCATCGCTAATCAGACACTTTCAAGACCCTCGTAAAAATATCATCGATATCTCACTATATCTGATTCTGAGTCTCATAACGTGACATATTTTTTGTAGTGTTTTTTCAGCATGATGTCTGATGAGTAGAAATCCAGAACCTTTGTCTGGTTTTTATTCGATGTGACACACTTTTTTACGAGAGAAATCACAGCTGCCTACTATAAAAAACTGTCCCACGTTCCATAGTATCTTTGATAACGGTTCGAAGTTTCGCTGTACACTGAGACCAGCAATCTGCAGACATCAAATATTGATTGAGATCCTATCCTCCGGACCATCTTGATTAATCCAGGTCCCTAATCAGTTATCGGACGGTCTTGTAAACCAATGTACACAGACAGAAGTTTATTGAAGTGCTCGTCAGCATCGTAAGCCATAATATATAAATCGACCAGTATACGATAGACGAGAGTCAGGTATCGCAATTTATATGCAAATGAGATTTCCATAAAGTGCATATGAAGTTTCGGTATCGCCAGATCGATCTTTGTGTATTGGCTCTCTGAAAGGGATTGGTCAATCTACCAGGGAGTTATTCTTCGTGATTGTGAAGCGAATACTTTGTCTCTGTCCACGACTAGAGAGTTTAAGGTTGCCGACCGGCCCGAACGACCGGTCGGTAGTGTCACGTGACTGATCACAATGACAAATACGAAAGATTGCGACTGGCCTTGAAAACCGTGAACTTGATTGTTCAATTGATAATTTAAACAGAAATAACACATAACCTAGCACCTTAAGAACGAGATGAATCAGGATTCGTCTATTTTATGAGTCATTCAATTCCTTGCACAAGATTTCTTTGGATGAAATAATAATTGTGAACTGTATACCACGAATAATAGATTCAAGTGAATCATCCAGTAATGTATTATTATTTTTCTTGGAATATACCACGCTTTTCGAGTTAGTAAATTCAGCAGAATGTATATGCCCTCGCCAATTCTTTGAGTGCTTTGTTTGTTATTGGGTGGGTATATCGAAAAGGGGTGTTTGAATGCAGAAAGGTGGGGAGGTAGCGATTTTATGTTCAAGCAATTGTTTTTTCTTTGATAATAACTCGAAAACTGTTGCTTTCACGAAAGAAGATGGTTAACACAAAGTTGAAGAGGGCAAATTCACCTACATTTATTTCAAAAATTTTGTAGGACACATAATATGTTAGGAGATATAGCTCCTTTACAGGAAAACTAGTTAGCGAGAGCACAGCTGCTGCCTAGTAGGAATTGATGGGGGGTCATTGATGAATCGCTTAGGAGACGAAGGGAATGATCACCATTTTGGGCCAAAATTAACTAGCATACCAATTTTGTTCTTTGGAAATGTCCACATGAATCTTGCCAAAGAAGGGATCAATCGTGTTATATTTAAATACACTGCGTCGTGAACAAAATATCGTATATATAGTGAAAGGAGGGAATTATATCATATGAAATCTATGTATCTCCTTTGTATTCTCCGCCTTCTCCGTCTTCTCTGTCTTCTCTGTCTTCTCTGTCTTCTCTGTCTTCTCTGTCTTCTCTGTCTTCTCTGTCTTCTCTGTCTTCTCTGTCTTCTCTGTCTTCTCTGTCTTCTCTGTCTTCTCTGTCTTCTCTGTCTTCTCTGTCTTCTCTGTCTTCTCTGTCTTCTCTGTCTTCTCTGTCTTCTCTGTCTTCTCTGTCTTCTCTGTCTTCTCTGTCTTCTCTGTCTTCTCTGTCTTCTCTGTCTTCTATGTCTTCTCTGTCTTCTCTGTCTTCTCTGTCTTCTCTGTCTTCTCTGTCTTTTCTGTCTTTTCTGTCTTCTCTGTCTTCTATGTCTCCTCTGCCTTTTTTGTTTTTCCTGCCTTCTTTGTCTTCTCTGTCTCCTTTGTCTTGTCTGTCTTATCTGTCTTCTCTGTGTTTTTTTTATGTAGTGGAGCGCACGAGAGAAAATTCCTGTGATATTCAAGGAACACAATGCGTACCTAGGGAGGTTAGGGAGAGGAAGTAAGTGTTGGATTTTTTTTAATCTTTCGGGTGATTAGTTTTTGGGAATACTTTCCTTGACAAATTATCTCTGAGCTTCGCTGTGCTATAGACGAACGGTTTCTGGTAGAGTGTTGTTCGACATATTTCAGGGTTGCCTACACATCACCCAAATCGGAATCTAAGATAAAATGCGCGTCTACCTGGCGAACGATGTTGTTTTTTTTTCGTTTCTGTCAGAATCCCAGAGAGAGTTATTTATCACTCGAATAGCATTTCTGAACTTGGTATAGTTCTAAGAGCAGAACAATCTGATTCAGATAGACGATTCCTTTACTGTGGAGCCATTTTCCTGTTGATGATGTATTTATGTTGAACACATTAGGTTTAGTTCCAATACTTAAACATAATTGATGAAACATTCTTCGAAATCGACTATCAAAGTCTTAGAATGTGATCTCACTGCTATTTTGATACATTCCAATCATTTCAGCATGTGAATAGCCAGGTAGGTATTTTGTTTCACTAGGTAACAAAGTAGTAGATTGAATGTCGTGGCTGATGATTCATAGACGAGCGTAACGAGACAAGAAATAATGGAGTCGAGGTACTCAATCTACAATTGTTGCTGTGTGGAACAAATTATTTCCCCTCCAAATGTTATTAAACCAGACAGAGTGAATTAGCGCGAGATCACAGTTGGAAGAATAAATATATCAGTTGCCTCAGTCTCCGTCGGGCGTTTGGTATTTTCTTTCAACTATGGCGAGATGAGGTTTCTACGTCATAAGAGGGTACGTTTTCAGAAGGTACTATTATTCATGTCCAAAAATAAAACATTTCAGTTAATTTCTCGATCGAATTATGTCGTTAATCATTATTAATGTATAAAAGGATCATTATAAGCATGGTTATGAGTTAAAAGTTCTACTAAGGTGTACACGCCCATTCAAAAACAATGATGATACTGCATTACTCTCTACATTTTGAGTGGGTGTATAAACGTGAGTTAATTCCCTACAAGTTTTGATAGCTCACCATAATCCCGCTACCTAGGACTAGGTAAATGCGCTAATGTTTTTCTTTGATTCATTGTTGTAACACATGCTTTTCTCGCATAATGACTGAGAGAATTATTTCGGGACAAACATGGGCCGTAATGACTCTGAAACTTTGCCTCGACTAAGTTGTTATTTCCGCTTTGCTGCGTTCACATCACTAACGAATTTACTAATATTCCTCAAAATCTCAGCTACATATTTGTGTAATTAGTTTTGATATTCTGGCGAAACGATCTATCTTATAATTACTCCGTATTATGGCAGTGTGTGTATATTTTTCCAGGATTCCGAAGCTTCGTCTAATTTTCTTACTCATTGAGGCAGTGGCGAATCCAGTATTTTCTTCAGAAACGAACGAGGAAGAAATGTTGATCTCACTATGCCCAACATCACCTTGTCAGGAGTAACCATATACATTTGAAACATCCATTTCGATGCTTGATATTTCTTTCAGCAATAACCTTTCTCTGGAAATTCACGTGAGATCAATTGCTAAAAATGCATCCCAAAAACTTGGTTTTCTGTTTAGGGCCAGGGGTAATTTCACTTCCAGTCAGCTGCTTCTAATCTAAAAGGCACAGATCACACCTGTCCTGGAATACTGTTCTCATATTTGTAGTGCAGCACCCAAACATACCCTGAAACTGTTGGATTCTGTCCAAAACAGGGCAATTCGTCTCGAGGGTGATGCCTCGCTCACAAACTCACTCACTTCTCAGGAACACCGTAGAAAAAATGGCGATCTGGCTCTATTTAATAGATATTTTCATGGACGATCCTCTTCTGAAATATCAACAATTGTTCCTTCCTTGGCAGTCCCCGCAAGATTAACCCGTCGAGTTGAGGCTTGGGATCTCTTCGTGGTCACTTTGGAAACCTGCGGAACATTTCTTTCCAAAGACTCGTTCATCTAACGAACAGCCAGGCTCTGGAACAGATTGCCAAGGAAGGTGTTCCCCGAGGCATATAACCTCCAGAATTCAAGAAGAACACCAATTCCTACCTTATTTCCCTTGGTTCTCACGATGTTCTCTGAACATTACAGGATATACCTTTTCGTGGGAACCAGAACATAAAAAAAATGAAGCACATGTACTATAAGGAAAATATACGTACTTCGGACTTGAACTGCTCTTCAAGAAATCGGACTTTTTTTCAATGAACTAGAAGAGGGATAATTCAGATGATATTAATATAGACATTAGATGATAATTTTTAATGATAATGTTTATTTGAAGAAGTTACAGCTTAATAATAGATATGATTGACAATCCTATATAGATTTTGGGTTTCATGTTTTGATTTGAGTAGGCCTCGCATTGTTTTTTGTGAAAAAAAATCCCTAATAGTACTTTCTCAAATATGGGTCTATAAAGTTGGTCGCAGTTGGCCACGATTACAGTTCATGAATTAAATCATTTTCTTGTTGGATGGACATTTCAAATACCTATCCAACAAGAGAAAGTTTTTTGAAATCGGTCAGATAATAACAATTCTATAGGAGTCCTTAAGGTGGACACACTGTAGATGTATCATTTTATATTTTCCTCCATTTCGAATCGAATATACATTGTTTCGCCATCTACTGTGAAAGAAGCGAAACAGTCACATTACTTTCTACAGATTTCTTTACTATATTGATTGACGAATTCGCACATGTTCAACCTAGTTGGGAGATGTCAGGATAACATCTAAATTCGTTCTGTATTGCTACTTAATTATTTAATCACAGATTACATAGCCATATGTTTCAGGAACAGAACATAACTGATATGATACTGATTGCTGCTCAACTTCTCGTAGAACAAGAAAAATCACGTTCATGCCACAAGGGACCAACAGGACCTTCTGAATACTGGCAAATTCCTAGTTTTTTGAAAAGATAACAATTTCTTTTCGGGTTGCCCCACTTGCCCCTATATGTCAACCAGAATGGAAGGGGGCTCGTATTCAGGTGATAGATTTTGATATGATTCCAGGTTTTCCAATAAGTTCCATATCTAAAATGAATAGTCGTCATAATATATTTATATAGGTATGAAACTAATTGAGATTTTTCAATTTCTCCCAAGTAGCACATACATTGGGACAATATCAGTGCAATATTACAAAAATAACAGCAAAATATGGTAAACGTATTGTTGGAGAAAAACAAAATGTGAACATTCGGCGATATTGAAGCAATATTAGTATCAAAATGTGGGCGAAACATTCAAAACCAGCATTATGTAATGTCATCTTGAAATCATTCTTTGAAATAATTGCACACCAATATTGCATGAATATTCGTACAATTTGAGCACAAAATATGGAATTAATATTGGCGAGAAATGAAAATTGAACATTTGGCAATATTGATGCAATATTAGTTGGCAGTATTCGTTGACATCTTTCTAATTGTCCTCTGTAATGTCCATACGACGTCCACTGGAACGTCTACATAACATCCTCTGGAACGATCATGGAATGTTTCTTGACCTCTCATGGGACGTCATCTGGAATGTCCATGAAATGTCCCAGGGATGTACGAATCATTCTTGAATTTGAATTCATTTAGGTCTCCCTAGAACCAGATCTTGCATTGATGGAAACACAGTTGAGTTGATGGTCCGTAGAAGGTCTACCAATAGATCGTGAAGAAGGTCCCAAGCATGTCCAATGGACGTGCGTGAAGGACATTGCCGGGAAATCTATAGCCTACGAGCAGTCGATCGTCGACGAGTTGTAATGTTCTGAATGGGTCAACATATTTACCGTACCGACTGGGACATCCGTAGGACGTTAATTCTAGGACATTATGAGGAAAAATGATGATTTGCTTGCATGAGGGACATTTATATAGGACGTCTCTCAGGTAAGGACACATTCTGAATCGTATCCAGGACATTCTTAGGATTTCTTCGAGACGTGTATGAGACGGTTCACCTATGACATCTCATGAAATTATATTCCTTGAAAAATATTCTTGAACTTTCAACTTAGATGGATACATGGATTATCTAAAGGAGACTTCCCACGTCAAAACAGTTCATGTATCAATTTGAATTATTCCAAATGTCATTCGATCCTGGAAATATTAAATGCATCCGTGCAGAGATATTTGTAGATATGTACCGTCTGGAATATTTTATGGTTGTTTCAGAAGAGACATTATTTCAGGAGCAATGCCAGAAAATAAACTACTTGGAACATTGGATGGTCGATCCCATTAGGGACATTCTCAGGTCGTCCTCGTATGGATATTCTACAATATGTACCACGTGGGACGTCTAATTGATGCAATTTTTAGGGCATTTGGAATGATGTATGAGCTCGGAAATTGCATGAGAATTATAATAAACTCTCATAATGGACCAATATTTCTCACATTTACAATATATCTATGTTGGCCTAACATAAAATCAGGTCTCAGCCAATATGATGATGTATAACCTGGATCATTTTAAACAAATTTCAACATATTCGAAATGAAAATTTACCCATTACGATCTGTCAGTCTGGGTATTCTCACGAAATCAATATTTCCAGGGGCTGACCACAGACCATGAGATCCATTGGCAGAGAATACTACAGGGTGTTGTCCTTGTGTCCTTACAATCTGAGGGAATTTTGGCACTTGGATTATACTCTTCCTACAATAACAATAACCATAAAGATTTTGTTCCACATCGAATCATATTTCAATGATAAATAGTGTGTTTTGTCATGATTCCATATTCATTTCACTTATTGATTATTTGGGATTGCTCTCCTTGTTGATATAAACAACACATGAAACGTTAATTCGCATTTTTTCCCCAACAGATTCTCAATTATTCTTCAGTTTCTGAAAGCTCGTTTTATTGACTATCGAACCTATGAATATGACTATTTCATCTTTTCCGGTTGAGATTCTACAGGATGATGATCTATTTTTGTGTGTGGTCAAAGACATATTGCTTCATATGTTTCCTCGATATAGCAAAAAAATTTTTTGGAATTGTCACATCCGATACTGAAATATAAAAGTTTTATTGAGATAATGCATAATTTGATGCTATAATTTTCATTGGCTTTGTGTCAATCTGGTTCGAACGGTGGTCAAAAATTTTGAAATGATGCATGATCAACCTATTCTCATATACAGGGTGATCCTCGAACAAAAATTATGACATCAAGTGATGAAAAAAAACATGTTTTGACAAGCAGCACAATTTCGAAGCAGGAAACCAACCGATTGAGAAGTTTTCTGGCGATCAAAGCGTGTAGGAGAGGTTGTCATCATCATGTCAAGTTGCTACAGAATCTATTGCAAGATCAAACCACTAGAATTGTTAGAAAAATCGGATTTTCAGAAGATAATTTCAAGGCAAATGAGATAGACTGAAGGATGAAGAAACAGGATGTCTTTTAAATGAAAAAAGTTGCTGCCGAGACATACCATGCAACTGACAGAATTCATCACAATTGCAGTAGATTAACGAGTATCGGGATGTAATTTCATTTGCGGTGAACGTCTTCACAATGGACTTATATTGAATATTTGTCGGAATTCAAGAGAATGGCGGACGTGAGTCACATGGAAATGTAATGAAGAAAACTTCTCAATGGGTTTCCTGCTTCGAAATTTTCTTGCTCGTCAAAACAAGATTTTTCTTATTACTTGATATGTCATACAATTGGTTGATCATGCATCATCTCATGATTTTTGCCCACCATCTGAACCAGATTGACAGGAACACGAAGCCAATAGGAATTAGAGAGAATCAAATTATGCATTATCTCAATGAAACATTCATATTTCAGTAACGCGTGTGACAATTCCAAAATTGTTTTCACATTATCGAGAAAACATATGAAGCCATATGTTTTTGGCCTGAAAAAAATATAGACATTTTTCTTCCAAACAGGAGGCATTTGAAATATTTGGAAAAATTCACAGCTTTGATTATCATCCTGTAGAATCTCATCCGGAAAAGATGAAATAGTCATATCCACAGGTTCGATAGTCAATGAAACGAGCTTTCAGAAACTGACCCATAATTGAAAATCGGTTGAGGTAATCGAAAGTTATGATGATTCAAATATGATCGAAGAAGTGCGATTTTACGTTTCATGTGTTGAGCAGTCTAGATAGAACATGGTATTCACTGCTGAAAACTGAATATAAAAATGGTAGAGGAGTGACAATCTGAAATAATCAAGTGGAATAAAGGTACTACTCTTTCGATTAACCTACAGACAGTATGATTCCATATCATTGAAACAGGAGTCGTATTTACCTCTGATGTGAAAATCTAAAATATCGTCCCGTATGATTGTAATTGTAATAAACACCTGAATCATGGAAAGCCAGATAAAGTTGATCAGGAAATCTATTTCCGGAAAATGTTAGGCTCATGTGTTCCCAGTCGCCTAAATGGTTGCCTAAGGTTTCCATACTACCCAGGCAAATGTTGAAAATTTTTAATGTCGGAATTGAACCTGAAAATGAAAAATCAGAAACGCAATTCTGTTTTCTGTTACCCATAGGGGATTATAATTGTAGCAATACATTTCTCATTGGAGAGGAATTTTGAAGAAATCAGTCCTTACTTCATAACTCTTGAACGTTTCAGCAAATGGTATTTGATTTTTGCCAGAAAGTTAACTGTTTTCAGAGATGTTCAACATTGATTAAATAGCACCGTTCTGCGAGCTATCTAATGACTATAAAGGAAACAAATTGTATTTCTGAAGACATCTTACCAATGAAACAGACTTGTTTTCCTTCATTGTACGGAAAAAACACCCAATAGCTCACGTGAAAATGAAGGGAACTGTCACTGTTCGAGACATCACTTTGTGTATTATTTTGACATTGCTGGACCAGAGCGTACGTGATGACAGGTTGCAAATTCGGATTTTTGCCATAGATGAATGAAGATGTATTATCCATCAAATAATCTGAAAAATTATACTGGTGTATACACAAAAAAAGGTTATATGGCATATATAGTCCTACTCCAAATGCAAAAAATTTTTGAATACTTGAATATGAAAAATCAACGTGAATAGTAGGTACCTTACTTTGCAGGTGCGGAAAGTAATGCTTCTCCGCACAATTTTTTCCACTAGCTTGCGGAAAGAAACCAGCAGTTAACAAAATAGTTATTCATGTTCCAAGGACACAAAACTGCCTATTAGAGTCAAGTTTGTAGATTGACAGCCGAGGCCTTAGCCGAGGCTGGCAATCAGGCAAGACAATAGACAGTTTTTCGCCGAGGTGCATGATTGGGCAACAGCAAATGACAGTTGTTGTCAACTTTCTCCCCGTAAGGACCAGGAGTGCCAGTTCGATTTTTATTTCATCACTAAATACCTTGTTAAAAATTCGCTTGCAGAAAATTCAAAATATTTGTTAACGCTTCGCTTATGGAATCCGAAAATTCGACCACATCACTCACAAACTGAAGAATTCTGGCTGGTTGAGTTTCGAGAATTATCGCTCATTACATTTATTGACGCTTGATCACTAAATTTTGAATCTCCAGCAACCAGAGTATTTATTGAACAAACTGCGCACATTTTCAGATATAAATCAAATTCCTACACGCAATAGACTTACCTTTTACTGATACCCAGACCAGACATAATACAGCGCTATTTGAGAGGTCTTTTCCATACAAGGATTGCACAGAATATAACCAATAATCCATGGAAATTAGATCCTACACGATACTGAATTTCAAGAAACGCCTCAAACAATTACTATTGAGCAGGATGTGAATTGAGATATTCTTGGCCAGGCAAATGAAACGGTACATGACTTCTATTTTTGGTATTATCATTGCTATTTTTGTCATCATTGTTATTATTATCATTATTATTATTGTTATTGTTGTATTATTATGGTACTATTATTAGTATCACAGCTATCATTATCATCATCATTGTTTTTATTGTTATTATTCACATCCATCATCTTCTTGTTACTATTGCTATCATCAATGATTATTGATCTATTTCTATTTTCAGTCTCTAATATTGAATTGACCTGATTATGAATAAGTATACTGTGAGCAACAGAAATTTTCTTCCATAATTTGTAATTTTTAATTGATGAATAAAAACCATTAGTATTATTATTATTATTATTAAATAAAATAATTCCACAGCCAGCCATTCTCATATGCTAGTATGCTCTAATCTACCGATTGAATTGTAATTTTTTCAATATGTTGTTCTGTAACATTTAGTTCAGGAATTAGTGTACATACCGTATTTTGTTTATTTATATGTCCTTACCTCATTTTACTTATTCTTATATCTATTTCACTGAACTTTTTTATTCTGTCATGTGACCTGTTATAAATCTATTTGTATATATATATCATTATCAAATAAATGGATCTGGATCGGAATCTATTTTGTGAAATTAATATACATAGAGCGTGCCGAAATATCATGCAATTTATAAGTATAGTTGATTAACTGAAGATCGATGAAAATGTAGTTAATTATTACAATAAATAGTCTGAAAGGGTCAGCGAACGAAAAGAACTCGCTTTCGGACATAGTAGGTTTTCCGTTCATTAATTAGAACGTAAAATGTGAGTTTTAGTTGAGGTCGATAAAAAATAATGCATTTGAAATTATATGAAATATTCCAAATGTCGGTATTTACTTCTCAAAAACTCAACAAAACTTTTTTACCGCACTAGAGTTGAAAAGTGGCTCTTTCAGCACTCAAATGAGTGCGGAAAATAAGACTTTTCCGCACGTAAGTAAAAACGAATCTTAGTGTCCTGTCATTGCAGTACTATTCAACTTTATTCATGAGTATGTGCGTTCATGCCAGGAACCTGGATATGTTACGAGGTGATCGTGAATTATCGCTGAATGAGCCTTCGAATTCAAGATTCACCTACTTATAGAATCATTAGGAATCAAAATTGCGTCCTTCAGTTTGTCCTGTAATGCTCCATCTAAAGAAACTTTTTCGATTTCGCTACCATTTTTGAAAGCTAGTTTGACATGTTTCAAATAATCTTCTGCACTCATTGGTAAATATTTTTCACCTGGCGCTAACCATATCAAGGGAGACCATTGTCTGACCAATTCTTCCACTGAAAGAAAAAGATACATATTGTTGCTAGAATAATCTTAATTTTCAGTCGATACCTATATTCTACAATGAAGTGAATGAAGGGCACAAAACACCGCAGGATATCCTTAATTCGGAATTCCATCATTCATGAATATCTTTCAATAGATATACAATGACTTGCTGATATCTATAAGAGAACAATACATTAGGTACCAATATTTTTGTAACTGACCGCTTGCGAGAATGGGCTTATATCACAAACAATAGATATTTACGTAATCAGTTAGGAAACGCGTTGTTTTGTGTAACGATGGGACGCGGGACGAGCGAAGCGAGATCCCGCAACATCACAGAGTTACACAAAATGGCGTTTCCTTACGTGTCACGTACAATATTTTTTCTAATTTTGACGAAACATTTCGCATGAACAAAAATAATGACCAGTTTTACATGAGTTCTGCCGACTCTTGTTGTGTGAAATGAATGAATGAAATGAACATTACATCACCAGTTATGTAAAATTTTACTTTACGCAACTGGTTACGTAAAGTAAGACGTTTCAAAACTTCCGTCAGTTTTGAAAAGTGTCACATTACATGTCAAAATTAGAAAAATTTCATTTCATAATTCGATAGAACTCACCCAAACTATCTTACTAACGCAAACCGTTTCTTGCTGTGAGCTCCCTACGTTTTATGAAAAATTATTGAGATCCCCGATTTTTCGAACCTCTAAAAACGAGGCGATGATGTGACGTCAAAACCCTAATACTGAAACAAGACTATTCCAGACAGATATGAATGATACATGATTTCTGACAGAGTGAATTAGCGCGAGATCACAGTTGAAGTTGAAAGAATTAATATATCAGTTGCCTCAGTCTCCGTCAGGCGTTTGGTATTTTCTTTTAACTATGGCGAGATGAGGTTTCTACGTCATAAGAGGGTCCATTTTCAGAAAGTACTATTATTTATGTCCAAAAATAAAATATTCCAGTTAATTTTTCGATCGAATTATATCGTCAATCATTATTTATGTATAAACGGATCATTATATAAACATGGTTTGAGTTCAAAGTTCTACTAAGGTGTACAGATTATTTTTCCATTCATGGACTCAGAAATGCAGGAGAATGGGTCGATTTGAATATCGATTTTTTCATACAGGGTCGCTGACATGTATCGAAACAGGTGAATGTGTTGGTAAACTGTTGTTGGATTTTTTTGAATTTATGTACAGTGTGATTTCAAAACGTGGCGGATTTGAAAATGTTATAGCTAATGTTGCCACTTCTTCAGTTATTCCGGATTCTTCATCACTTCCTTATTTTGAATTAAACACCCTGTACTTCATTGGATTATCAGATTTTCCTTTAAGAGCTGATTCCATCGATCTATCAGACTTGGGGTCTAGCGGAAGTGATTTCATAGGTATAGGGTGTTTCAAATCTATAGATTTTTCAACTTTAGGATTTTTTGTGTCGAATTTATATCCATTATCGATCTAAACCGTTCCAATGTTCCCATCTTTAATTTTGAATCACAATCTACTGACATTTTATTGAAACAAATACAAGGTTCTTCAATATTCAGAATTCTGATCACCCTCTTTATCTGTTTCATTCAAATGGCAGTAGAAAGTGAATCATAATGGATAGTTTCGACACGAAAAAATTCTGAAGTTGAAAAATCTAGATTTTGAACACCCTATACCTATGTAATCATTTCCGCTAGACCAAGTGTGATAGATCGATGGAATCAACTCGTCAGGGAGAGTTTGTGGAGTTTCTAGGTTTCTACATTCTTCAAGGAGATTCTGAAAATCCAATGAAGTACAGGTGGTTTCATTCAAATTGAGGAAGTTGATAAATAATCTGGAATAACTGAGAAAGTGCCAATAACATTTCCAAATCCACCACGTTTTGAAGTCACACTGTACATGAATTCGAAAAAAATCCCACAACAGGTTACCGAGATATTCACCTGTCTCCATACATATCAGCGACCCTGTATATTCTATCTTCCTAAATATCGATACAAATCTCATTTCTAACTACTTATATGAGTGAAAGTGAAACAGTCATGCATGCTTGACGTATAATCGTCATTTCGCAAGTGGGATGTGTCCTCAACCTTGTTTCTTGTTTGTTATACCTGAGTGATGAAAAAAATCACTCAAAATATACAGTGTGTCCAAATTAGAAATCATAAGTCCAAAATTACTTCACAAATAGACTATATAAAGAGTCTATACCGAACTGGATAGTAGGAGCCATCTTTATCTTTTTTTTATCACTATATTTTTGGAACATTACATGTGAATAATCCCATATCTCATTACAAAGCACTATGCTCAACTACGGTATCTTGTGTCAATATTCCTTATTCGAAATAGTTATTTGTTTAACTAGGCAGCAAAGTAGTAGATTGACTGCCGTGGCTGAATTCATAGCCGAGCGTAGCGAGGCTAGGAATCCAGCTAAGGCAGTCAATCTACTGTGCTGCCGAGTTGAACATATGATTTTTTCTCCGATTGTTCATAATGATATGGGAGAATATTGTGTTTGCGAATTAATACAATTCCCACAATCTCTTAATTCTTCCTGTATAGTGTTCAATTAAAATAAAATTTGATAGAAATCGCAGTTGTTGGTTTGACAATTCATGAAATTTCTGACAGTTGTGCGAAAAAATATCGGTATATTTAAATTATTATATAATGGACAGTGATAGCGACCTGGAAGTATACTTACACCTCCATTAATAAGGGAGGTGGCAAAAAATATAGAGTTGAATTTGTTGCCGGAGAAGTCTCGGATGGAATATGAAGGAAATTATAAACGATTTATGGATTTTTGATTTTGCTGATACATATCAATCAGCAAAGTGACCACTTTGCTGCCTAGGCACGAAAAGTGATACTTTGCTGATCGATATGTGTCAGCAAAATTAATATTTGCTGCCAATCGGAGGAAAAATAGTTTTTCTGCTCTATGACTTGATACTCCAAACTGAATCTGCTTGAGAAATGTGAATAACTTCACAAACGAAAACCTTTTTTCAGGGCATTACTTGCACAAAAAATTGACCTTTATAGCAGGCTAGATAATCCAAACTTTCAGGTTCCTGAGTTCATTCAAGTTTAGCAAGTCAATGTTGAAATAATCTTTTGTTCGAATATTCCAATCAAAGAAATTTTTTCAATGAGAATGATGGAAGAAAAAACAGTACATACTAGTTCTAATTGATTGCTGTATTATCAAAACAGTAGAATGAATTATGATTATAAAAATGATAAACTCTTAATCGGTCATTATTCTGCCCATATGCATTATATTTATTTGAGAAACATAGGAATCGATATTAGAGATGGAAAAAAAATGTTTCACGTCTTTGAATAAGTAAACTTGTTGGACGTGAATTATTATTATTGTGTCATAGTACTCACAAACAATCATTGAATTAGAATAAAAGCACAAAATTTCGGAGATTCATGGAAAAAACTGTTTCAGCTTTCAATATCACGCTGTGGAAGATCTTCTCATTGCCTCATTATAAAATTTGTCGAATATACATATAATTAGGTATATCATTCAGTAGTGATAATTGATATTCTATCGATCGATTATAAAACATTTCAGAATGAATGCTGAATTTTCAGACAATGATTCAACATAATTAGTGATTGTTCACAAAATTATTCCTCATTCATCTCACAGCATTCAGTTTTTCTTCAACCTCTCAACTCGCAATTTTTGGAAATCAAATCACAGAATAAGACTGACAAATATTTGATTACTTCAGGAGAATGATAAAGATACCTGCAAAAAATGACTGCAACGCTGGTGTCATTCCTGTTGAAAACTGCAAATTTCACATCGATTTATTTCTGATTCTAATAAAATGTAATATATTCCCGATATAGATTCGTCATTCTCTCTGTCACACAAAAAATAGTGTTTTATACACGAAAAAAATATGAGATTTTCGCTCAACACAACCTGGAGCAAAAATTTTCAATTTTGTACCCTTGTTTAATTAATGAATAACTATTTTACGAATAGAGCATTATATATTTCTCTCAATTCCATTTTGGAACTGCAAATAGTTCTTAAATCCCAACTGATAAGTGGAGTAATAATTCAATTCAATAAATATCATTTCAATTACTATATCAACTTATATATATTATTTCTACTATAATTGATATGAATGTTACTAACCTTCTCCGATATTTACACAATCTACACCCCTTTTGATCGATAACAACCACCACAAAACCAATAGGTATGAATAATCAATATACATGACGATCAATCAACCAGGAAGCATTTGTTTAAAAACCACGCTATAAACTACGTCATGCCTGCTCGAGTAGGTTTTGCTGTACAAACATAAAACATACAGAACGAGTCTGCAAAACTAGTAGTACCAGCACATACACTTAACAATGAAGAAAGTTCGTTATGGACAATTCATACAACACAGATAAAAAGGATTCCTTGATTCAAGGCGGATCAGCATTGATTCAACCATATGTCGCTCTTGAATAGGTCTAACCAAATATTTGTTTTATTTTTCTAGGGATCTTTCTTGACGTATTCATGATTCTAATGAATATTTATTTAATATCACAGTACCTATTAGTCGAAGATAGAATTAATCAGTATGAAACAAGAAAATTATTCTATTGTCAAGTTAATCTCCTATCATGGTTGAACAATTCAGTTCATGAATGAAGAAATTTCAACCTTGTTAAAAAAAGAAAATGTCTCATTATAATGGGTGCGGATATATTCCAGTAGATCCTCATTTTATTGTGTCAAGAAAATATCATTTTGATAGAAAACAAAATACAGCTTTCTATCAGAGCATTGATGGTCTTGCCATAAAAGGAATAATAAACTTGGTCATCTTATTATAACATAACGTGGATGAATAATATGAGGAAACAGATACATAAAATACTAAGATCATCAAATAACTACTGTCTGTAGCTTAATCTAGGTGGTGGAATATCAATTTCCCTAGACTTTCGTGATTTGCTGTCCTCGTCTTTCTCCCCAGGATGTCACTTTGCTTGAATGTTGAATTCCGAAAACCCAGAGAAAAATGAGTAGAATCATCGTTTCGAAAATGTGTTGCGTGTTTTGCAAAGTAGCTCGATGAATGGGAATCATCAATCGTATATATATATATATATATATATATATATATATAAAACTTGCTCCAGAAGGAACAACATTTTCATTCTATACAACCATGGCAGTCGAAAACAATCGAAATTTCAAAACATTAAGATATTTTCTGGAATCAAGAAATTTTGTGTTTGACAAAAGAGTGGCCTGTATAAAAAATGTAGGTAAGGTATATGTGAAAACCCGGAAGGAAGGAGACACACACCTCAGTGAAACTTTGTGACAAAAAATACAAAGTTCAGAATTCATTCCTGTTCGAAATTATTATTAATACCTACACGTTTATTTATCTTACTCTCGCAGATTGTCCTCGAATGTGAAATGTCGAGGTGCTTTGGAAATGACACCTTGAAATTTCTAAATTGAAGAACAAAAATGTGTTATACACCGTCTTCAGAAGAAACAACAGCGGCAATGGCATATGACTGCTGACGACTGACTAGTCGAATAGGCGCAGGCGTTCAGTTCCCAAACCTTTCAGACAAGCAGTAATTTTCTTGAACCAATATAAATTGGAATTAATGTTACTGATAGTCGAGGTTTTCTTCAATGAAGAAATATACTGTTTAGTGTTCATGTTTTTTGTTTATGTTTGAATGATCAAATATGCTGGTGATGTCTAGCAAATTCATTTCAAGAAATTTCAAGAAAATAAGCAAGACAGCCGATTGATTTGGGACAAGTGTATATTGCTCCATTCAAATGAAAAATTCTTGCACGGTACAATCCAATTCTGGGAAAATTGATCCGTTTGATTGGATAAATCCTTCTCATCTGTGAATGTGCTATCCGAAAGTAAAAATTTTGTATTCACCCAGTATATCATCTCTACGGAACACCACATAAACTGCTATACTAAATTTTAATTTAAACATTTTTAATTAGGCATCAGGGCTTCATTTGATAGTTATTACAGCAGTATATCGAAGGAGATTACAAGGAAACACAGTCAGTCGACCACAATTTATAAAAGAAAGGAAACACTTAACAATTTGTTACAGGGTTTCGGCGGTACGATCATTATCACACATATTACTTACCTGTAGAGAATCTATATGATGAAAGGATCCTGAGAAGAAAGTGAAAAAGACATACTCACCAAAATGTACAGGAGGTCCAAACATCTTCGAATTTATCAAAACATCATATCATTGTAATGTATGGTATACCTTTCTGATCAGTTTGAAGACGTTTGGATGCCTCGTACATTTCGGTACATCTTTATCATATTTTCTTCTAACGAGGATCATTTTATCATGTCAATTCTTCATAGGTACGACTATGTATGTCTGATGATGGTCATAGTGCCGAAATCAGTAAAAAAAACTTGTCAAGTGTATTTTAACGTTCATAAAGTGACTGATTTCCATGATTTACAGCAGTATATGGTAATATGAATCCACTTGTGAGTTATTCATCATCACTCACTAGTGATTTCACATAATCTTTTGTATTGAGATGAACATTTTGGTTTTTGAAATCGGAAAGTCACGCTTTGCAACAATGATGTATTTGTAAAAAGGGAAACTATGAAGGCTCATCATGGTTGTTCAATGATAGGCATGAATAAGTATTTCTTCATTTGCAAAAGAAGGGATTGCAATTTCAAAATCACAATCTAAGTCTGTCCTACCAGGAAAGGCGAATTTTCAGGATGTTATCTCATGGAAATTTCTAACAAATAAATTCTTCCTATCGAACTTTTTGTTCCGAAGGAGATGGATGGAGTTTTGTTTGGGACTCATGTCAATTAAAATGATAGTTGATAGTAAACTCATATACATATTACCATACCTCACTATTATCTTGCCACCAGGTATATCACCAAATAAATGGAAGATGACATCTGAATCGAGAACAATTTATTGCTTGTTATGAATACCTTCATAATATAATATTTGATTATGATAAAAGAGGATTAGCAATTATTTTAGCATTTTTGTGAATCAGTTTGATTCCGATTTCATGTCTATGAGGCATGAAAAAACTCGATTCTCAAGAGTTAACAGTGTAGTTGACAGTTTGAGATGCATTTTCTCAGTAACTGTTTATTATTGTCAATTTTGTATACGAGTACATCAGGTAAGTAGGTACCAATCAACATTTTTTATTTGACGTCATAATATAACAATATGTTTGATCTCCATAGCTACAACTTTAGGTAACATTATTTTTCTTTGTGTTCAATCCGCAATAATATTGATTCAAACTGAAAGTCAATGGAGTTAAAGATCATCACGGAAACTCTGATTTTCAAATCATCTTAATGACCAACTATCAATCTCAATGATTTCAAAACTTGTTTCTTTACTATTATGTTAATCCGTGTCGCCCAATTTTGAAAGATTCGTTATGTTTGTAAATTTTGTGGGATTCAGCTTAGGCTGATCGAATGAAAACCATTCATGTTTCAGCATTCCTGCTAACTTCAAGGCAATTCAATGACGTACGTATAGTGGGTGGTAAAGAAGCAAACATCTCCAGTTTTCCTTATCAGATATCTCTGATGAAATATGGCAGTCACGTTTGTGGAGGAGCTATTTTTCACGACTCTTACATTTTGACAGCAGCTCATTGTGTGATTAAGTTAGTATACACTATACTTAAGACTAGACAGTTTCGTTTATTTCATGTACTCGAAGGAATTCAATTCTGGAAATCATGTTTCCCAATAGATCATTATTTTACCGCAGAATGTGGCCCAAGTTAGAACTAGGGTCCCTTGATGGAAACTGACGTATTTATCATATAACAGGGTACGGACAGATCATAGCTCCTCTTTCTTTTAATCATCTAGTGACTTTGGTTTCGTGTATTGGCGTCCCTGACATGACATTCATAGGCGTTTAAAAAAGAGATCTTGAAAAATCTTGATTTTATACTTTATATCAATACGACATTATTCAATTCTGTTTTGAAAGGATGGTGAAATTTGCTGCGTTACGCAGTTGAATGGCAAATTTGAATTGGTCAGCTATCCATCAAATGCAAATGAACTTAGAACATGGGAAGTGAAGTGACCGAATGAGGAAAATTGGTAAATACATCACCAAAATATTTGGGGTGAAACTAATACGAAATCACATATTATACTTTTTCATTGTGCCTATATTTATCCACTCCAAAAGTTTTTGAACTCCTTTTAGTAGAAACAGTTTTGATTAAAACGGAGGATCAAAAGAAGAGACCATTGAAAGAAATTATACCTACATTCAGGAAATATTGATTGTTCATGAAAAACTGCGAGAATGATTCCCAACATGAATATCTACAGCACACATGACATTATTATGAGCACATTAGTTTGAATACCCACATAAAATTTTTCACCATATCTCAACCATAATGCTTAGTCTGCAATCAGAGTTCATTTATTTATAGGTACTGCCTGAGAACAGTCCCATTTGGTTAAACGTATTGAACTTTCAGAAAAATTTGCTCCATGTCTCACAAAAACTCTGCTGGAGTGGGAATCAAAAACTCAAAAATTATCATCATCTTTTGGATATAATATGTAGAATTGAATGAGAAATTACATGTGGATATTACATATTATGATACACCAAAGTTCTCAATATAACCTCAAGAACAACAAATGTTCAGAAGAACAATTCCAAAATGAAAATTTGGCAATTGACGTTTATTATTTGGGTTTCAGTGGATTGGCAAAGTCCTATTCCATTCGTGCAGGAAGCAGTTTCAGAATGTCAGGAGGAACCGTTTTCAAAGTTTGCTCAGTGCATATTCATGAAAAGTTTGTGACTTCCACCATGGACTATGATATCGCTATACTGACTGTGAGTAATGAAAATGACGAATGAGTGCAAGCATCTGAGTGTCTCTCAATTTCAAATGAAGATGTTATTTTTATATATGGCTTGGTTCTATACAATGCGCTCTTTTTTTATCGCTTGGAGCGCACGAAAGGAAATCCCTATAATGTTCAAAGAACATCGTGCGTTCCTAGGGAGGATAGGGACAGGATGAGGTATTGAAATTTTTTTTGAACTTTTGGAGATTATATGTTGTTGGGAATACTTCCACAGGCAATGCATTCCAGAGCCTAGCCGTTCTATGGATGAAGGAGTCTTGATAAAGTGATGTTCGACATATTTCGAGGTTGACAACGAAAGGATGTGCTGACTGGGCTTGTCTAGTTCGTCTGATTGGTATTGCTAGTAAAGGGATGATAGCAGAGATTTCCGAAGAACATTTCCCGTGGAAGTATCGATAGAAAAGTGAAAGGTCGCCGACCTTTCTACGGTGTTCGAATGATGTCAGAGAGTGAGTGAGTGTGGCGTCACCCACCAGGCGAATGGCTCTTCTCTGGATGGAATCTGAGAGCATCAGCATATGTTTTGGTGCTGAACCCCATATGTGGGAACAGTATTCTAGAACAGGCCGTATCTGCGCTTTGTAGATCATGGAAAGAAGTTGAGGTGTAAAGTAGCTTTTCGCACGGAACAAGAATCCGAGTTTTTGTGAAGCAGCTTTTGCGATGGATCTGACATGATTATCCCATGAAAGAGTGTTGCTGATGGAAATACCGAGCATAGATATAGTGGGCTTGGTGGGGATGGTGGAGCGAGACATTACAATATCGGGCATACTGAGTTCCGCCTTCTAGAGAAAATGCAGGCTTAAGTTTTGGTGGCGTTGAATTCAACTAGGTTGTTGGTTTCCCAGGCTATGATTCCAGCAAGATCTTCATTGACAGCATTGACCTGCCTGCGCCGTGAGTTCTTAGTTTCCTGAAAAAAATGGGAATTCTGGAAGAGAACGCAGTATGGAGGGTACTATCATCTGCAAAGCTGTGGATGGGGCGAGTTGTTTCTCCCAACAGATCATTGATATGAAGAAGGAATAATGTTGGTGCCAAAATTGACCGTTGTGGAACGCCGGAATTGATGCCAATGGTATCAGACGATACACCGTCCACCACCACGTGAAGCGATCTGCCTGAAAGAAAACTCGATAAGAGATGGCATAGCTGAGGTGGTTAGCCGTATGATGGTAGTTTGTGGAGGAGTCCTTCGTGCCAAACACGGTCGAATGCTTTCGATATGTCCAACGCGACAGCTAGAGATTCCCCGTGTTTTTCTATTGAAGATTGACATAAATGGGTGACGTAGGCAAGTAGATCTCCAGTAGATCTTCGGTGGCGAAAGCCGTATTGTCTATCATTGATGATTCCTGAGCTCTCCAGATATTTGATAAGCACAATATTGATGGCTTCCTCCATCACTTTGAAGATAACTGATAACAGGGCAATGGGCCTGTAGTTGTTGAGCAGGTTCTTGTTCCCTTTTTTGGAGATTGGTTACACTCTAGCTGTTTTCCAGCATGATGGAAAAATACCCGACCTGTACGAGACGGTAAACAACTTGCAGAGAATCGGTGTTAATTCATGTGCACATTTTTTGAGAATAATGGATCAAGTTGATTCATGGTTCAGAAAGACGCTTGTGATATGTAAAAATAACCCCAGATTCACCGCAATCAACGTGACAGCACTCTTCTACCTCTTCAAATGAAGTAGAGGATTATGTGATGATCTATTTTGACAAATATTCTATTGTATTTATTTCCTAAAATCTCGTTCGTGTTTCTTGATAATAGGTAATAAAGTAGAGTATTGATTTATTCGTAATGAAATTTTGTGCTCACTGTATAGGTTCCTTGTGAGTTTTTTGCATCATATCTTATCATCTGATCTCATTATTCGTTCAATTATAAGCAAAATAATAAGTTTTTCAAAAATGCTGAATATTGTGTTTTCAATCAGCAACATTGTTCGTTGTAATCTTCAAATTTTTCGGTAATGAGCAGTTGAGACCTATACTCGTGTGAACTGTCACGTTTCCATGCACAGAAAGTTATACGTTTTCACTCAAAAATACGAAAATTTACAATGAACTAGATGATGATGTTTTATATAAATGAAGAGAGGAAGAAACTATTGCAAAATCCCACTATGGGCCATACTCAAGGATAATAAAAGGAGTTCTCAAGTAATTTTTGTATCCAAATAGGATCGTGGCAAATTCTTCAATATTTTGTAGGGGCTTATATTTGTCTTCTATATTAGATTAGATTTAGAATGGGGCCTTCGGGCTATCTGCCTCCACACCGCGACCTTTTCAGATCTATTGGGTCTGCCCTCAAAATCGATTAGAGTTCTTCGGCTAGCTCCTTCTCCATAAGCTAGCTTTCAGATCCCCTGTGTATCTTTGAGCTTCTGGTTTTTCCTCACCCAGCGTAACGAACCTTAGTCTTGACAAGCCCTCACAGTGGCAAAATATGTGTACTGCTGTTTCCTCTTCTTCCTGACAGAACCTGCACACAGCAGTTCTTCAGTCAGACCTATCGTACTCATGTGTTTGTTGAGCCTACAATGCCTTGTGAGGAGTCCCACTAGTATTCTAGTTGAACTTCGTTTCTGGCTCAGTAGATATTCTGTGAATGTTGACGATGGTTTTTTAATGAATTCTGGTTTTGGAGTGTCTCTTTTCTTCTTTTCTACTCAGATGGCGTTGTTTTTATATTGTCTCTGGAGGACGCCTCAGAGGGAATAAAATGCCGACTTGATTTCTGTTTGGCTAGGCTACGCTAACTCGGCGGTCATAGGACTGCTGGCTGGAGACTGCTCTACACTGATGAGAGTCAAAGAGCTCGAAATCAGTCTGTAGGTGTCTAGCGTGGCCTGGCTACTTCGAAATCAATAGGCATTCAGGAAAGAGTCATTCGTATCTGTATTCGTTTATACGAGTCGATGTATAGATTTCGGGAGGATGTAATTCAATGTTTTGCGTAGCACAAGCTAGGAAAATAGTTGTTTTTTCCCGGTAATCTACAATTATTGTATATTTCATGAACATTGTGTGGAAAGGACTTTGAGCTTTGTGAAATTCGTAGTTGAAAAATATAATTGTTATTCAATTTTCAGCTTTGCAGTCCCATTTTATTCAGCAGTACGATGTTGCCAGCTGCATTGCCACTCAGTTCTGAATCCCTTTCACCAGGAATCTTGGCTACAGTGACTGGTTGGGGTTACACTACGGTAAATATGAACGATGACCTTACCTGTCACTGTGAAAATGTAGAATTATCATCAGTAATAAAACTAACTTCGAAATATTCTGGTTATACATCGATAACTCAATTGTTGCTTGATTAAAAAAATGGTCAGTTTTTTTTTCTCTTGGCGCACACGAGAGAAAATTCTTAAACTGTTCGTGGAACATCGTGCGTTACTAGAGAGGATAGGCAGAGGGGGTAAAATTAGGATTTTTTCAACTTTTCTTCTTGGGAATACCTCCATTGGCAAAGTATTCCAAAGCTTCGCTGTTCTTTGGGCGAAGGAGTTTTGGTAGAGCGTTGTTCGACATATTTCAAGGTAAACAACGACAGGATATGCAGGCCAAGTCTGTCGAGTTCGTCTACTCGTATTGCTAGTGATGGAATTGAAACAGAGAATTCTGAGAAACATTTCCTGTTGAAGTACCTACATTTGAAAACTTCCCTACTTCTTGCGTTCAATTCTATTTCCGAGGGCGACACTTGACATGTATATTTTTAGCCCTCTTGATAGTGTGAGGAGAATTCTGAATATTTTATTTTTGATGCTTGTTTGTGTGCTTTGAGAATTCCTTGTCACAGTTTACAAAAATCATATTCAAGATTGTAAATGAAAACTAAACTATCGAAATTTTTCAAGAACGTTCCTGGATTTTCTCGCTTCAGGAAATGTCAGTCGATTAGGGTTTAGTAGAGGAATATTGAAAAACTTCAATCTTTATTTCAATCTTTGCAATAAACATTACATTGCATCCCATATAAATATAAATATAATCATTAACATTTACAATGGAATAACATGAATAATCAGACAGATTCATATCTGGTATGAGATTATTCATGCGTTATCAAATTGAATTATAATTATTGAAATAAACAACAGAATATGAAAAAAATAAATAAAACAAAAAGCTCATGAAAAGTACATTATGACATGATGAAATAAATTAGTCAATGAGAAATCATTCACTCAGGTTTGATTTTCTCTTTGCAAGAGGATATGTTTCTTGACTTTGAATTTGAATTGGGTGATATTTGTGCAACTTTTGATATCATCAGGTAATTTATTGAATTTTGAGATAGCTCCATGGAATAATCAGACAAACCGAAGAAGTTGTTGAAATGTTATGGCCAAAAGATGTTTTTTTGCCAAATCTCATAATTCAACCTATATATATTTATAGATATTCTACTCAAAGACCTCTATTAATGGTAGAAGTACTCATGACTCACCCTGTATATCCACGTATATTGGATCATACCAAGAAAATATTCAATAAAATTGATGAGATAATATGTATATCAGATTCGCAAAAACCTACATCGAGTGTTGTTAGTGATGGAACTATAAATACATAGTCATTTTTTTCAGGAAAGTGGAAGTGTGTCGAATAACTTGCAACAAGTCCAAGTACCTATCGTAAATCATAATCAATGCAGCAAAATCTTCACCAAGGAAACTATCAGCAACAACATGATATGTGCTGGTTTTTTAGGAAAAGGTGGAAAAGATGCTTGTCAGGTTGGTTCAGAAAAATATAATCCATTCAAAATATAAACGAATAGGAAAAAATGTGGAGATTGATATATTCTGTTCAATTGAAAGATTGAATGAAATATAATGTTGATCAATGAAAATAGCAAATTGGGAGGCTGAATAGGGGTTGAAAAATGAAGAGAGGAAAATTACTAAATTTTATGTATAAAATACTGTCTGTAGGTTAATCGAGGAGGTGGTACATTCATTTTACTTGGTTCTTTGGGATTTTCTCTCCTCGTTTCTATAAAATAAAAGTATTCGTATTATTTCAATATATTTGTAGAGGGACAAATCAGATGATTTGCCCCAAAATGTCACTGCGTTTAACAAATTTTTCTATCAGGGAGTCTAAAAGAAAAATCCAGTAGCTTGTCAGTGACAATTTGTTTGAAAAAATTTTTGAAGGAAAGAAATATAGATATATTGAAAAAATATCGAATTTGTACTTATCTTTGGACGTTTCGGGACCGATTCTGCTCCCGTTCTCAACATGTAAATGCAAATTATTTTTCTTTGAAAGTTGTGCTGCGTATATAGTTTGACACTTTTCAGTGTCATACTGATGTTGGCATATGAATGGAAGATTTTAGTCTACAAATGAGTTACAGGATGTTTTCATTAATTGATCTTGAATCTACCATTTTCATGTTCAGTTTTCAGTAGTGAATACCATGTTCTATCAATATCAACTGAACAGGAAGCAATGCTATTGTCTCCGTTTAGAAGAATGCAAGCGGATTCCTTTATTTTTCTTTTTTGTTTGTTATCTTCCTTTCCTATGATTTTGATATTATTCCACTGTGCCATATGTTGTCCATCTTCAGTGAGGATATGTTCAGTTAGCTTCGATTTATCGATATGTCTTTTCTTGATATTGTACTTGTGTTCTTTTGTCCTTACTGAGAGAGGTCTCTTCGTTTCACCTGTATAATACTTTCCACAAACACAAGGTATACTATAAATACGATTTTTTGATGATTGTTCTTCATATATATATATATCTATATTTCTTTCCTTCAAAAATTTTTTCAAACAAATTGTCACTGACAAGCTACTGGATTTTTCTTTTAGACTCCCTGATAGAAAAATTTGTTAAACGCAGTGACATTTTGGGGCAAATCATCTGATTTGTCCCTCTACAAATATATTGAAATAATACGAATACTTTTATTTTATAGAAACGAGGAGAGAAAATCCCAAAGAACCAAGTAAAATTTATGTATAAAAGCTGAAATTTTCTTGTAGGGTGACTCAGGTGGACCTATGATTGCTAAAGGCAAGCTTTATGGAATTGTTTCATGGGGATATGGATGTGCCCAATCTCAGTATCCAGGCATCTACACCAATGTCCCAGTTTTGAGAAACTGGATAAAACAAATCACAAAATACTAAGAGATGTATAAAAAATAGAGAAATTATGTGTTTCAATCTGAAGACTGGAATGCCAATTAACTAACCAACTATCATTTGAATTTTCTCTGTGATTTAAGTAATTTAGTCACAGGCTAGAGATTGATGGAATAAACGTCTGGTGCGCTACACTCTTCATTTGTTTCGTCAAACTGGTTCTTGATATAAACAATTGAATTTCATATGATAACGTGGAGTCAACTTATTGAATATTAGATGGAGTGATTCCTAGAACTTATGATCAACATCAGTTCTACCAACCTTGATGCGGCTTAATCGCAAAATGTATTCCGTTTCTTCATTGGTCACAATTCGGTCACAATTGTCACATTGATGCCTGTAATTTTGGTGTGGCACCAGACTAAACTGAGCGAGATTCACCCACGCCATGTTATGTTTATCGAAGTTGGCAAAATTCAAGGAATTGTAAAACAGGAAAGAATTTGAGTGCATACACCAGAGTTTATTTCATCAATGGCTAGAGTTTACCACGATCTGTTAATGTCATTGAAAAAAGATACATCTCTTGGTTTCCATCGATTGTTTCATTTGTCATGATGGATAACTCGAACATCATCATAATTTGATTATTGAAAAGTATCAGATGGGGATTATCTCGAAAATCGTTAGTATTCAATTGAAAACAATTATCAGAAAAAACAGTCAATTATCATGATCGATGGAGAGATTTCATAAGATCCATAATGAATTGATAACAAGATATATGTTTATAATTATGTGAGAAAGATTAAATACGAAGCGTATATATCAAATAGATACTTCCCCTCGCATTATCAGGTATATGTAAACATTGAAAAATCAATTGAATGGCAATTTGAATTCGATTACTGAATATCTCTCTAGATATCTTATGATACTGTGGGTATACATGTTTACCTTTTTATTATTGATGCATCAGTGAGTGTTTGGAAGGCACAATAGAAAATATGAAATCTGCTTTTTTGTTGTGTCTGCTGGTCAAGATTTCCTCAAGTAAGTTAATATTTACAAGCTCATTATCAAAGAACTGAACTGAATTGTGTCCAATTTTGTTAGATCTAGGAGCAAATGTACCTAGCCTTGGGATAGTCAACGGCACTAGTGTAAGCATAGAAGATTATCCTTACCAGGCTTCTATTCAGTTCTATAGACTCCATGGTTGTGGGGGATCGATACTGAATGAGAAGTTTATACTGACAGCAGCGCATTGTATCTACGAGTAAGTAAATATTGAAGAACTCCTGATTCAGATTGCTTGGCAACACTTTTTTTTTCAGTGTGACTGCAGACATAGTCAGCGTAAGATTAGGCTCATCAATCCGTAATGATGGAGGAACCGTTTATCAAGTTTCCGAAATTCATCAGCATCCCTCTTTCAATTCCAAAACTTACGATTACGACGTTGCCATTCTTGAACTAGAGGACAACATAGCGTTTGGCACTGGAGTGAAACGTAGGTACAGGGTGAAAAAGAACGAACAAATCCAATCCCAGCAAATATTTTGATCAATTAATGGCCTAATAATTTTCCCCATGCCTGCCAATTATTGTACAGCCAATATATTGTACAGGGTGAGCGAAGCTCAATGTCTCAGCACTATTAGAAGAAATAGAAAAATGATAGAAAGAAATTGAAAAGAGGTCCTTGAATGGTATCGAGTAGCTAAGGTCTATTTGCAGCCTAATTTCCAAGAGTACCTATTTTTCCGTAAACATTCCACTATCAGAAGGTGAATGAAAGGTGATTGTGAAGTGGACAATAGTACAATGAAGATGAATATCTTCATCGCCCAGAATTTACTCCTCGATTTTTTCCTTCCTGGAGAAGGAGAAGCTCCAAAGGCAAATCTGAAAGGACTAAATCAGGATATAGCTCTTGAAATTGAGAATTTGAACTTATAGTTTCTACCTTCGAAATGTTTTTTTGGTACCTCATCAAGATTCTGATTTTTCTTTTTACTTTTTGTTTCAGTGGTTTCATTTTTCTTTGCAATAGAATAGGCCTTCTCGAATGAAACAGTTTGTGGGTTTCATTATCAATAAATTTTGGATCTTAAATGGGTGCTGGAAGTTGTGAGCAAATCAATGTTCATATAGAAAACATTGTCCTCAGAATCCAAGTTATGAACATCTACAGATGCTGTTTTGCAACCAAAGGCAACACAATATAAATAACCATTGTTTATTAATTCGAAATCACAAATAATCAATTCACACCAACAAATTCAGTCCTGTTGAAGAAACAAAACACGCCAAATTTAGCAATATTTCACATAACAAAGAACAATGGAGTTATGTCTTCACTTTTTTGGATGTTTAGATGAAAAAGAAGATCTTAATCATTGGATAAATAATGTATACACCAATCCGCCATTGAACAACACGAGTGTGAAAGCTATCGTTGTTGCAGCTCCGACGGAATCCAACCGATTGTCTCTTATAGATTGGGGATATTCCCGTCCAACTGAAAAATTGCAAGAGTACAACCAGTTCCTTAAAAAAGGCAAAAAACCCTACCTAGCCACTAGAGACCGATCGCACTGCTATCTATTCTTTCAAAGATCATGGAGAAAACTATCAACTTCGAGCTCATGAAATACCTGGAACATTCTGGTATTTTTAACGATGAGCAATATGGCTTCCATCATCAGAGATCAACTGGTGACCTGCTCGCTCACGTCTCACATATATAGCAGCAATCTATTGAAAAATATGGTGAATCCTCAGGCGTGGCACTTGATATCTCCAAGGAATTCGATCGAGTCTGGCATCACGAACTCCTCGCCAAGCTTCCATCTTATGGCTTTATGTTATAAATGCTGGTGTTCCGCAAGGATCAATTCTAGAACCAACACTATTTCAACTCCATATCAACGATTTCTTGGAAGCAACTTTATGTCCAGTACACAGCTCCGCGGATGATAGTACCCTCCGTGCCGCCTTCTCTTCCAGGGCTCCAATACCAGCCAGGCAAATCAGAAACGAGCGAGGGAGAAATGTTGACAGCATAAATATGTACTTGGCAACAATTTTCAAATGGGGATCCAATAACTTGGTAGATTTCAATGCAAACAAAAAACAAGCATGCCTTTTCCCTAGAAAAGCCGATCTCACTGTGCCCAACATAAGCTTGTCAGGAGTAACCATACCTTTGAAGACATCCATTTCGATGCTTGGTATTACTATCAGCAATAACCTTTCTTGAGAAAATCACGTTTGATCAATTGCTAGAAGTGCATCCCAGAAACTTGGTTTCATGTTTCGGGCCAGGAGCTATTTCACTCCCAGTCAGCTGCTCATGATCTATAAGGCACAGATCCGACCTGTCCTGGAATACTGTTTCCATATGTGCAGCACCCAAAAATACCCTGAAACTATTGGATTCTGTCCAAAAAAGAGCAATTCGTCTCGTGGGTGATGCCTCGCTTACAAACTCGCTGACTTCTCTGGAACAACGTAGAAAAGTTAGCGAGCTGGCTCAATTTTATAGATATTTTCATGGACGATGCTCTTCTGAAATATCAACAATTGTTCCTTTCTTGGCAGTCCCCGCGAGATCAACTCGTCGAGTTGAGGCTTCGCACCCCTTCGTGGTCACTTTGGAGACCTGCAGAACATCTCTTTCCAAAGACTCGTTCATCCAACGAACACACTGCCAAGGAAGGTATTCCCCGAGACATATAACCTCCAGAAATTTAAGAAGAACACCAATTCCTACCTCATTCTCCTTGGGTCTCACGATCATCTCTGAACATTACAGGATAGCCCGTTTCGTGGGAACCAGAGAACATTGGAAAAAATTTGCTCCTGACACACTTTGTGCTGATCGAGAAACCGGTAGTCTCACTTTAGGTTTTCATATTGAGTTCATTGCTAGCACATTGAAAATGCTTCTGTTTTTCAGCGATAACCCTGGCAACTTCTGGTACGATAATCGCCGATGGTTTACCGGCTGTTGCTACAGGTTGGGGTAGAATGTATCAGGGTGGGCCACCCTCCGACCAACTGCAGATGGTCGTTTTGCCAACCATTTCCACCGCTGCCTGCGCCAATTTTTACCCTGAGGGGTTCGTTACAGAACGGATGTTTTGTGCGGGGTATGATGAGGGAGGGAAAGACACTTGTGAGGTGAGTTGGAGAAGAATCAAATTTCAGGATGTGATAGCTCATCCAAAAATATGGAAAGAGGTATCATTAACTCACCCCCTGAAATGCGCCATTTATGAGATACAAGGGGTTGAAAGTAAAAAAAAAATAGTTTCTTGCGAATATATCTGGAACCGTAAATAAGAAAACAAATTATGTAAGCATTATCTTCCCAAAATAGACTATGTTTTATGCGGAATCCTTTTCTATTTATGATTGGTCCCTGCAAGAGAGTAACATTTCAAGAAGTGGTTATAGATATTCGTGTTTTTCTGAATGAGATAGTCAATATCCATCTGAGGACAGTCTTCTCCCTGAGGATACATTAATTCGAGTGAATATTCTCCAGAAATAGGGTATCAACATGAAAATATGCCAGTCTTCTCAATATTCATTTCGTGTTTTTATTATCATATGAAACATGTGCCAGGCATTCTCCTATGTTTGCAGATACAGTGCCTTTTGAGTATAATTCGATCAAAAGACTGATGTGTTTTGGTGGTTCAGTTCGTAAAATGTTATTTTGCAGGTGCGATTATACAGTGTGTCCCACTTTGAGCAGTACCACCTTGGAATTTTCTTAATCGCTGACAGATTTCGAAAATTTTGTGAATCAACATGTACTTCTCAATGAGTTCTACATTTCTGAGTATCCAACACTCTGATTGCACTACGACACGGCCTACTATGATAATTTGAAAATGCCTAAAAGCAGTTAGTAATATCAGGAATTTTTTCAGCGGAAAACTGACATTCTCAACATGTTGAGAACTCCCTCGAATACATGTTGTCAAATTTTCATGTTGATATCATATACAGGGCGTTATTTTTTGTCAATTAATTTATGATGCTTGCTAAGTATAATTAACATCATGATTTCATTTAGATTCTACTTAAAAACACATGTTTCATAATGACCTCATACACAGGATGATCGCCAGACCTGACGCCCCTTGATTTCTTTTTATGGGGTATCTTAAAGCAGAAAGTTTAAGTCTAGATTCAGAAGTAGTGGAGAACTGCGAGAAAGACAAGTGTATAACATAACATATACAACTAAATCAATACCTAATATAGAATAGAGAATGATAAAAGGACATGAAACAGTACACACTGAAAATTGAAGTAAAAAATAATTGTCATAGCAGATCAATATTATGTATACTATTTGAAATAGTATAAGTTGAGGTGATGACAGGGTTTCATTGTAAAATTCCTCAATATTTTATAGTAGACTCTTTTCATAAGGGCATCTTTCATCAGTTTTCTAAATTCACTATGATCTTTTATATTTCTTAGTTCAGTGGGTATATGGTTATGTTGACGAATATTTCAATGCTATTTCAAATATTGCAAAGTTTCGAATTGTTTCCCTCAACATTATTCAATTAATTTTCAAATTGTGGCAGTATACCTATATAAAAAATAAATTCTAGAGATATTTTCCTATATGCACCTGATACCAAATTATAGCCCATAACTATTTGTGACATGATGAATGATTCCAGGGAGATTCTGGAGGACCATTGGTGGTTTCTGGTATACTCATTGGCATCACTTCTTGGGGAGATATTTGTGCGAAAGCGAAGAGTCCTGGAGCGTACACCAATATTCCAAATCTGATTGATTATATCGATTCGATAATAAATTAATTCGATGACTAAGAATTTGCATTTTATTTACATCAGAATATGAACTGGATATAGGTATATTTCAATAGTGATTATATATAAGAGCTTGATTTGTAACAATGACAAGACTCAGAAAGGTGAAAATGAGATATTTTTCTTCGAATGTTGAAATAAAAATATATGAAATTCAGTAACAACTTCAATGGTTTTATTCTTATATAGGTCGATGCGTCATGCCCTATGGGACTATCGTATATAATATATAGTTATTTCTTTCGAATTGTCTAGCCTTGACGGTTTTTATGATATTAGAAGCAGAGATTATACACAGAGATGTATAGAAATTTAACTGGTGCGCTTGCTCAGTATTGAAGGTCGTTTGCAAGTTTCTCGATGGCGCCTACTCTGATAAACCTTTGATAAACATACTTGACGTGGGTAAATCTCGCTAAGCTCATCCTGGTTACAATCCATATTCACAGGAAACATATTACCGACCGATAAATATTTGATGGATACGTATATGATTTGGATCAGAGCAGTGAACTGATTCCTGATCAAAGGATCGAAACGAAAAATATTCTTGAGCTGAAAAAATGGTTATTTCTGAGATTGGGGTCAAGTGTTCGTTAGGAACGTGTTCCTTAGTTTCTAAATTTTGTGTAAAATACCTAATCCACCATAGAAAAAAGAAAATCTCTGTTCTACAACAGTATTATTTCAGTGACTTGAAATATTGGCGTGAACTGGTGTGAATTAATTCTAAGGTGAGTACCAGTTACCATATCCTATTGTGATTTTAGATATTGGTCTATTTCAAGCTTCAAATAGGTTCATGTCATGAAAGAAGTGAAGCTCATTGAAATCGGCTACAAAAAAGATTTCTTGCTTCTATTTCAAATTGAAATTTGAATGAAAATGTTGAGCACAGTGTTTATTCGACCACAGAACAATGATGGAAATAGATTCATCCTTCACAGAACCAAGGTTTTGAATGATTGTCCGATTATGGCGCCTCTATCGCAAATACCTGAATACCACGTCCAAAACTCGCTCGCAATTGTTCCATATCGAGAGTTAGTCTGACGAAACAATTGAAGAGTGAGCCCACCAGTTAAATTTCTATACATCTCTATATTAGCTCTACCTACCTCATAACATTTTGATTATTTGAAATTAAAGAGTTGGCGAAGTGATAGTGGAAGAAAGGCAGCAATCAATGATGCCAATCACTATAACAACGCCAACAATAATCAGAATTTCAAAGTAAATGTCCGACCAAAGTTGAGGAACATTTTGAATTGGAAATTCGACATTTGCAAAAATTCAAAATGCAACAATTCTATAGAGCCTGTTCGGTTGAATCTTCATATTATGGTGCTTGTGCTGATCAGAAATTTCCATTCTAATTTATTCAATGAATAACATTATTGAGAAGTGGAACACAAATCTCTTCAAAAGCGAATAACACAAAACCGTTAAAGCTAGACAATTTGAAAGGGAGTACTTTTTTTGTAAAATTGAATGTGCTTCCAGATTTTTCACTTGTTTTGATCATTGTCGAATGGACGAAGAAGAAATATGATGTAATTTACCAAAGAAACAAAAAGTGCAATCACAAAATATGTCGCAAATTCGTATTCATCATGCCAGAAAACCTGAAGCTTCATGATCTCATGTTTATAGTGATGAAACTCACAAAGTGAATGTGGAATTAGAAAATGAAATTCCCCCCAGAACACCCTGTATTTCCTAAACCAGCAGCATTCTTATCAGGTATGTTAGGATATGAATCTCAATATTTTATTCTATACTATCTGTAGTTGTGAGATCAAGGAGATATAGGAATCTATTGTGTACTATGTGATACATCTCCAGAATAGTGGTAGGGGCAAAACAGTTATTCATTTTAATCTTGATCTGTCAAATTGCATGGCATAACGAAGAAAGAAATAATTAGGTATGTATCCAGATCTCGTTATCAAATCGTGAAATCGAGTGCAAATTTCCGCACAGGAAAGTGCAATTTTTCAATCATTTTGCTCTGGATAGTGATCGGCACAGTTGCCGTTCGATAAATTACAATGGTTTTTCATGCCTTTGGGACATATATATCATTTCGTTATCAGATGACGGTCAAAGCTTGCAGCCAGGGCTCTTTGACCATAACCAAACAAATACTAAATTCGCAATTTTTGAAAATCGAATCACATAATCAGACTAGAAGATACTGGATTACTTGGGAAGAATGATGAAGACGCGTGAAACGCAGGTGTCATTCCTGTTGAAAACTTCAAATGCCACGTCGATAATTTCCTGATGTCAATGAAAAGTGATATCTCATCGATATCGATTTGTCCTTTCTTCTGTCAGAGACAAAAAAAAGTGATATATATGGGAAACATATCAGATTTTAGCTGACAACCTGAAGCTAAAATCTACTACTTATTTTTCCCATGTATAATAAATTACCAAATTGTTCCAGATGTGATTTGTCAAATTATTTCCTTCCATAAATAAACGGTAATGAAATATTATTGCAGTGACATGTTATATCATTGCATTTCGTTTCAAGTGAATGAATGAGAAGGAGGAAAAAAACAAACACACTCGAAAAAATCAACAAGTCGATTCAAATATAAAAATTGATAGTGCTATTTCAGATCAAAAGGAAAAATCGGAGAAATTCAGGTCATCACTGTGTAAGATTTTGGGTGATTATTTTTCATGGAATAATGTTACAAGTCACATTTTTCTAACTATTGTATAGTACAAACTTCGATATTAACCTTCCTCCTAAATTTAGCTGACATTATTATCTCATGATAGCTCGTATAGTCAGTTCTAATAGAAAAATTGAATATAAATAAGGAAAATAACGTCAACTCATTATAATTCAAAACGATATCAGAACGAAGGCTAAGGATGGTCCTTGGGGAATCCTGATAATGAGACATTCATTTGTTCGAATCGTCCCTAAATCGATATATAGCATATTCCAGCGCTTGCGCAGGAATGTTTGGTGCTCCGATCAGTTGGAATGATGATTTGACTGTAGTCACATGAATTTTCGTGGTGTTAGTCAAGGTTGTAGATATATTTCGGGAACGCATAATAGATATATACAGAATAGCAATTGTTACAATCGACAAAAGCCAATGTGTTCATCAGCAATCGATAGGGGATGTGATCTTAGGAACACGAAATATCTCTTAGTTTGAACCAAATGATCCAGGTAAGGAATTTTTTCAGTTCACCTAGTATATATTGAATATATGGCCAATTGATATATCGTGAATATCCGATATGGGATTTGATGAGTCGAGACTTTGTTGATGAGGTAATATTTTATTATTATGGTTTCAATTGCTGTACTTATCAATATTTAAATGATTTGTTGATGAAAAATTTAAAGCATCAGTGAACCACCACCAATATAGTTATTATATTATGATTGATTGAAGAATAATTTGAAACGGTACCATACAGTCACTGGCAAAAAAAACGCCACCAAAAGAGAAATAACCAAATTGGTTGCCCTGTATTTTTCAGCCTCTTGTTCGACTTCGCTGAAATTTCAACAAAACCGTAGGCTCATGTTTCAAAATTCCAACCTGGTTTTCAGTTTCCCAAAAAAGGCTGATGGCTTGATAATTATACAGGAAAAAGAAGAGTTACACTGTTTCACGCTCAACTTCTCAATGTCCTGTGGCAAAAGTGAGAGGATGAACAAAGTTTCATTTTATTTTGGAATGAATTATTATTGATCAAAATTTAAAAAATCCATTCTGTTTCGAATCACTTGTATCTTCTTTCAAAAATGAGATATTTACATAAATCAAGAACCATTATTATGTTGAGAAGGGATGAAAAGGGATCATACTACAATCCAAAGCATGATGATGCAGAAGGTTGAAAAATGATTCTGAATGTTGTTGCAGTATTTATGAGCTATGCGCGCATCTACAGTACATGTATATTTTTCATCTTTCTTTTTGATTGATTTGATTTGATTTGATTTGTGCTCACCTTTTGCTCATATACTCACACCTATTTTCATATCCCAGTATCTTTCGTAATTTTTTATGTAGTTTTACGTATAAAGAATTTCAACCCAATCGGTCAAGTCAAGTAGTTGATGTACCAAGAGCAGCGCCATACCCATATAAGATTTCAACCCAATCGGTTCAGCCGGTTAAGAAGTTATGTGAAAAAATAAGTTCATAGGGGATAATGTCGGCTACAAATGAGAATTTTTCAAATCAGTCTAGTTTGAGAGCCTATTCAATACAAACGAACAAACAAATCTTTCCTCTTTACTAGTATAAATACAAATTTTAAGATTCCATACTATCTTAAATCACTTGTATATTTTTCAAAAAAAAATATTTACGTGCGATACTAACTAACCACCCACCTTTGAAGTTCAAGACAACACTCTGGAACGAAAATCTACGATTTACTTGAATAACAAATTCAATAGCTATTTGTGTATTTAGAGCGCAAAGTGATAGTTTGCTGCTCGACAAAGAAAGTTACCGCGCGATGCGGAGCGGAGCGCGGTAATCTTTGGAGAGCGGCAATAACACTTTGTGCTCAAAATACACACAAGATTTTTTCTACTAACGCAGCTTCTGGAAATAACTACCCTGAAAGAATGAGCGATTGAAATAGTTGAAAAAGTTCTTATCCATATGTCCAAAGGAAACAAAAAAAGAAAAATTGAAATAACTGACAAGCCAGAAAAAAAATGTCGGGCCTACCGAGAATTGAAACTGGACCACCAGCGTGGCAACCTGAGCTTCAGACCTCTGAGCCATAATACGATAAACTCTGCAATCAAATTGAACATTACCCATTGATGCAATAAAATAAAGATACACTGTCTTTCTGATGACAACAAAGAGTTTAAATATAAAGTATATTTCATCGTTTTCAACAGATATGCTTCATCGGGAGCTTCTTGTAGAAATTTGTTGGTATATATCTTCAGCGGTGAATGTTTTGGACTTTTCTCGCTTTATATCCAATAGATTGTTTCTTGAGAAATGCGATAAGTTTCAGATACTTATTGATTCCGATATTATCTTTAACATTCAAGCATGTATACGTACCATCGAATATATAGACCAATGAGTTGATGACTTCAAAGTCTTTGATTTTTAACCAAAATAAGCCAGTAAAACGTTTTCTGAATACATATTCACCATCTCGGAGTGGCACCAATTTATGAATGTATCATTTATTGTAATTCATATTTCTTCCTTGATTTCTCCGGTAAAAGATTCAAACTCTTGCGCTTTCACTATTTTCCATCATGAAAGAATTGGGGGTTTTCAAGAATAGATAAGTACAGGTTACAGAGATGTGCGAGCGTTTTTTCAATATTTCCGCTCACGAGCGCAAATGCTGTCAAAGAATGACATTTCTGGGAAAACGTCAACTTTTTGCTGGAATTTGAAAGCGTCAAAGGCAACTTTGTTAAGCGTTTGTAGAAAAAAGTATTTGGATAATTCACAGTGAGTATTTTAATACTTTCAAAGTATTTAAGTATGTCCAAAGTATTCGAATACTTTCAAAGTATCTGAGTATATCCAAAGTATTCAAATATGCTAGAAGTATTTAAATAGTTCCACAGTATTTGAATATTTCACGATTATTTAAATACCTCAGATATATTTGAATACCTTGCGAAACTATTCCCATATACTAAGTTATAAATATATTCCAACAAATATTTGTAAGTAAAAATATAATTACCTGAACCAGAAAGTATTCAAATACTTGGTATCTAAATACCGAATTGTATTTGAATACTGAAAAGTATCTGTAAATACGAATAATGCCCAGGTCTGATTGTAGGGGAGTGATATACAACTCAAGATATTCAATAAATCAATGAATGAATGAACCAACAAAATAATTCTATAATTCCGAACAGTAGGTGAGAATCTTTCATCAGATTCAATTGATTTTTCCAGGGAAGATGTCGGCTATGGAATCTAACCCTTTGCGCCCTAGCTTTCCTTTTCATATACAACCTAATTCTCACCATGAAACTTGTCTATTCCCCGGAATGCCATAAACACCAAACGCCAGTCGTGAAACCTGTGAAGCCGGCAAGGCAAAAATGCGAACCAATAGGAACCAACCAAAACACTCGGACTTTCAACCTGGATTTAACTTTGGGGAGATGGGACAACGCTCAGAGATACAAATTATTCGACAATATTCTAGTAGGTGAGTCTACTATAGTATTCCTGCCAGAAATTACTAATAGTAAGTGAGTAAGTAAGTATTTATTGGCCTCGAATTACATAGCAGGTACAAAAGGCAAGTCAAATTACAGTATAGAGAGCATATAACAGATAAAAATACAATAACAGTATAATGACAATGAGCAGCTTAAAATTATATACAAAAAACAGATATTCAACTGAACAAACGCAAATACACTTACTTGATTCAACTTTCTACAATACCTTGTCCAAAAGAAAAGTCTTTGTGAGGAGGTATATCTCTTATGTACAGTCGTCTTCAGAGATCATGACGCATATGGACGGTGTCAGCTCTCTTGATCACCGCTGTAATAAGAGCGCTCATTCCGTCCAACCGCGACATGTTCGTTGAAGACGAGTGTACACTGGTAGTGGTAGCATTGTGAAGAGTGGCACAGTTGTAAAAAGGAGATTTTTTGAAAGTGGATGTTTTGTATTTTGGTAAGTCTAAGTTATTTATCCTAGTGCCATATCCATGGTGGCTCCCCTGGATTGTAAAATTTGAAAGATGTTTTTTGATGAAAGTAACACATTTTATGATATAGATGGATATTAAAGTAAGAATATGTTTTTCTATGAAGGTATCACGGCAGCTTTGGTTGTAGTTAAGGTCAAATATTTTTCTGATAATTCGCTTCTGAGAAATGAAATACACCGATCATTCCTGATGCCTAATTGTAAAGGGTCTTCTCAAATATTTTGAACCCCCCCTTTACTATTTTATTTATCATCAAATTTGTTTTCCAAACAACAGTCTTTTATAATTTTCCATGTAGATTTTGAATATGATAATAGAAAAACAATTGAACATCTCAAAAAAAAATTATGGGTAAGATGTATAGATTTTTAAATGGAACACCCTGTATTTTATTGCATCTTTAGATTATCCCTGAAGAGCTGATTCCATCGATCTATCACAATAATTGGAGTCTAGCTGGAATGATAACAGCTATATAGGGTGTGAAAAATTGAGATTTTTTCAACTTTAGGAATTGTTTGTGTCGAAACTATTTATTATTGGCCAAAACGGTTGCCCAGAACTTTTTTTTGACATGTTCATTTGTTTTTCTGTTAACATATTCGAAATCTACAGAAAAAATGTTGAAGGACTGTTCTTCGGAAAATAGAATTCGATACTGAATGAAATAGTCAAGGGGGGGGTTCGAAATATACGTGAAGACCCTGTACGTATAGCAGCTTCATTTAATCATATCTTCGGAAAGTGGAAGTCACCAACTGCTGAATCTATAAGGAGTTTATTTTGTTATAGTTAATAAGGGCTCAACTAGATAATGATCCAATTTTCAAAAAGACGAAAAATAACTATAGTATTAGAGGAAGGTGAGTTTTGGGGAAAATTCGGTTCCATAATTCACTAATATGATAAGTGCACTCATCGAATTGAAGGTGGGAGATATAATTAGCTCTCACATAAACTTTTCTGTGTTCTATTCGATGATATCAGGAAAATATATGAATGAGTTATTGATTTGACATCAACTTCTAATCACTTTCTCGGGAATCACAAAGATTATTGATCGATTGATATCACATCAGACTTGGAATTTTCCATTGTCGAATATTAATAACTGCAGATTTCTGATGAGTTCGAGTGAATCATGGTTTTGAAAAAATGATAATAATAATTATGATTTTCATATTGATGTAGATCCATGAAAGCCAACAGGGGAATTGAATAAATATCAAAAAATGATGAATTCCAATTCAACGTTCAACTGCCAATAGGTCGATGAAAGGTGAATATTATTCAGTGAATTCTCGTAAGGAAATGACGAGAAAGTGATAGACACAATCGAAGAGCTTGTGAATAATGTTTTCGAGCATTGTACACTTGTACAGTGTGTCCAGTTCTCGACGCTTTGTGCGGTTTCTCAGCTTTTCTCAGTTATCTTTGGAGATAGAATACTGCGATGTTCACATTACTGTGTTACTTTATTGTGAAACTAATAATGCCACTGAGAGAATTTTTTAAGATCTTCATGTTTTTGAGATACAAGGCGCAGTTGAAAATTCACACTTTTTGAGCACCAGGATCTTGTTACTTTACTACTCATCGGCAGGATAGGAAATGAGCCATATAAAGGTTGGGTTGATAGGTTAGGTTAGGGCACAAGTGAGTGAGTCTAGCACTCTGACTGTCATGTCAGTCATTTTTGACCGACAGCTTGATCTCGTGCTGAGCCGATGCATTTTTATTTTGGTTCGAACGCGTCAGGCCACGAGAAGATTTCAGAGTAGGGGTCATCTAAGTGATCAGCATATTGATGCTCAGTCATTTCAAAAGCGTTCTGGTGTACAGAAGAGAATAAAAAAGGAATATAAGTACAATCATTTATTGAATTACCACTCACTCATTGAGTGAAAATTCTCTCAAAAACATGGAGGGTAGTGAGAATTCCGATTATTTGTTGAAAAAAAATCAGTAATGTGAAAACAACAACAAACTATCTCCAAAGATAACTGAGATCGATCCAAACTGGCCCAGATTTGTATCGTTCACTATGAAATATTATACATATACAACATGTTCAATGGTGCATCATTTGATCATGGGTAGCCATTTGGATTATTCTACTCAGAATATCTGGAACTTTGAACTATATGGAATCGATGGAGTAGGTTTGAAGTCATCATTGGGATCTCGTAAACTGTGAGATGTACAGGGTCGGTTAAACTATAACAAAGTTGCGCAATGATATGCCTAATAAAATGCCTTGATGAAACTCTGAAAAATCCAAATACTTCCATATAGACAGACAAAAAAATACAAAATTCCCAAAGATTGTTCCCATTCCATTGTTTCGAGTAATTTGATGAAATTAATCGTAAGGAATGACACTTTATCATACAGGTGACAGATTCGCCCCATTGAACGACCTTTACAAGACCTGCCTAGCAACGCAGAGTTCCCTGGACAAGCTCCCCTCTCTCGCAGAAGTAGCTAGTCATTGGTCTGGACCCATTTCCCTGGCACTTTTTGCCGCCAGTGGGCCAGAATTGGACGCTTTGCTGTCGTACGTAGCGTATCTGAGGAAGTGCGACCAAGGCATTAGAGACAGAGTGAGCTTTCATCTAGGCATGGCCAGAGAAAGGCTGCCGAGAACCTTCGACTTGGATGAGGATAAGTTGGAGGAGATGGATTGCAGGAAACCGTTAGAGGTGGGTGCAAAATGAGGAAAATACACGCTAAGAAATCCTGTTGAGTGAAGCTTCTCGTCAAAATATAATGCACAATCAGTTACATCAAGGACTGCAATTTTGATGAATGTCTGTCAAAATTGTGTAAATTATTTCTCAAGAATATTTCAAAATTTTGAGACATAACGTGTCAGTATAATCCAGAGGGTAGCAATAAAAGCAATACACAATCCGAAGTGAACTTGGATTGACAACTAAAAAATTTGTGAAGTTTAGTCAATGTGTATACAGCCATTAATTTCTATCACCTCAACCTATTTCAATGTGAGATAATCAAGGTGAAGAATTGATTGGTTCGAATATTTGATTGTCGCAGAGGTGTTTCAAATTGTCTTTTCTGTCGACCTACTATTAACGAGTAAATTTAATGTTTATGAAATCGTTCATTATAGACCCCTATTAATGATCAATTTTTATATTAATGCACGATTGTTTTATAGGCAACCAAACATACACCGCGTGCATTCATTGTTTATGCTATAACTTACGGAATCTGCATTTAAATCGAAAATACGGATTTCATCGAAGATTTTCCGTTAACGGGTTCGCCTTTCCAAGTTTCTGAAACGATTTTAATCCCTGTTTTCTAACACAAGGAATTTATATTCTATGGTGATCATTTCCACAAATGTCAAATGTCACTAATGTCAGTTACAAGGCTACTGGGTGATTCTTAGTAGTTTCCAGATGAATGATGAATTCGCGAACCAAGTTTTCTTCCTTGCAGGAGAAATGAAAAATGTAGTCGACGGAAAAATTTTGTAACTAACTCGTATATTGAAAGGCGATTAATACACTAGTTGGTTAAATAACTATTTCCAAATTGCTTTCTTTCTAACGTAACGTATATAAGTCAAAGTACATACAGCCATCTAGTACTATCACCTCAACCTATTTTCAGAAAATCAAGGTGAAGAATAGATTGGTTCGAATATTTGTTTTTTTTTAGGTATTTTTTATCGTTTCTTCACATTGCTTTCCTCCTAAGGTATGAGAGTTATTTTAACCTATTTTCCTGTGGAAAAATCGAACGGAATAATTGATTAGTTTGACAATTTAATATTCAGAAGTAAGATTTTCCATCAGCTCTTTATGAATTGCTTCCCTCCCTAGCTCTTCTTTTCCTTTGACCTTAAACCCATATTTCTGTGGAAAAATTTGAGTGAAGGATTGATTTGTTCGAGAATGATGTCTGTTTTACTAGGCAGCAAAGTGGTAGATTGACTGCCGCAGCTGATAGTTTATTCAGCCATGGTAATCAATCTACTTTGCTGCCATGTGAAACACCTAATCTTCTCAAAATAATGTAAAACTAATTTCGTGTAATTTCTTTGTTGAGAACTCTATCATTTTGTGTTCATCCAATGTCACTTTCGATATTGATCACCAATTTCATTCAAAATACTTAGAACGTTCCATAGCAACAAACTTTTGCTACTAGGCAGAGAATATAAGAAGAGAGGGTTGGTATTGAGTTAGTTTTTCTTGAATATCTGAAGATATTCTTGGCAGACGCATGTGAAATGTGACGAGGAGTCCGGACATATATTTGTCCTAGATTCACAGAATAATAAAGTTAAGTATTTGTCTCTCTGAAATGTGACGTACAAATATCTTCAAACGACATGGGTATTCGACTTCGGTTGAAGTGATTATAAATTCCATTTCAGATAGACTGACGAAGGTCTCAAAAGCAATAAGAGTTTTCATTCGATCCCCATAAGCTGGATTCCCCTGAATCTACCTTCAATCTTTTGATTGACACATCTATTAATTTAGATGAGAGTTCGTGTTGGTGTCGGTGTTCATTCCATATTCATAATACGATACAATTTCATCAAATTCATAGAGCTGTGAAGTTATTCGACAAGTCAGGTACAAACAAAGTTCACATCAAGTGTATAAATAATAAAGGAACAAAATAGTTTATCCTGAACTATCAAAAATTCATGTACGTTATATAGGAGCAAAAGGTCGAGGAGAAGTTTTTTGATCTCTTCTTTGAATGTGTGCAATCTTTCAATCAATTCTAGTTCTTCAGAAAGAACGTCATATATTCTGAATCCAAGTATACCTGCAGGTTTCGGAGATACTGTACATCCAACATTGGGCAGATGCAAAATATTTTTGGATCTTGTATGATGGTCACGTAGTGAGTCATCCTTAACCAATATCTTGCGTTGGTTGTTTATAGATGCATGTCAAAAGTTCCAATATATGCGTAGGCATTAAAAGATGAAGAATTTTGAATTATTTAGTTCCTGAATGAGGAACCATTGGGAACATTAGCAAGACATTGCACAATCCTCTTCTGCTTCAGAAAAACTTCAACTGCAGAAGATCTACCCTATATGGTTATTCCGTGTGTTAGTCTGTCAGTGATTTGAGGGATCCCAGTTGGTTACATTTGATAGTTAGAGTGTTGGCTTAATAAGCTTCACAGTGAGTATTGAAGGATACCTTCTGATCTGGAAAAGTTAAGCATTCAACATTGTCTTTACTGTTTGGGCATTTTTATTCTGTCTGGTGTGAAAACCTATATGATTTGTTTCAATAATATTCAAAATAGCGAATTATTATATAACCACTTACGAAGTGACTGGAAAGTAATGTTGATGTTGTTTTGAATTTCTACCTCAGATTCGCCTCTGAATTGAATCGTGGAATCATCTGCATCAATACATGTGAATGCATTCGGGAGAATCAGAGGTAATTCATTGGTATAGAGCGCAAACAGAATAGGGCCCAAAACTGAGCCCTGAGGGACTCCAATTCCTATAAGAAGTTCACTTTCAGAAGAAATCAATTTTTTGCAGGTGTTACGCAACCTGTACGAGGCCTCCACCATGACAGCCTCCCGATGGCGAACCAAATTAGCCTACCCCCAAAACCATCTTCGCAACCTGGCGAGAAAGAACTGCCAGTCGAAACACGTTTTTCTCACTGACGTAGATATCGTGCCAAGCCGGGGCGCAGCCGAGGGTATGTACAAAAGCGCAACTTATTTATTCGGATAATTGTAATACACAATTCTGAGACTACCGGGGGTCCCAAGTTATCATATACAGGCAATATCTCGCTTATTTAACAAGATAATTGAAAAATTCGAAATATGATAGCAAAATGCCATATATGAATGTCCAAAACCTCTTTCGTTACTGACATACAGAGTGATTCATGTATTATGACAAAAAATATTTTGTCGTGGAGATATGACACTCAGATTTTGTCAAATTCACGAAAATCTTGTAGTTTTAAACAATTTTTTTTTCTGATACGCTTTCGTAGGGTTGGACGTTTTTCTGGAGCAGGCAAAGTGTCCGGGAGATGGAAAATGTGCCTACGTGGTGCCAACATACGAAATTGACGAGAGAGTCCGCTTTCCGAGGAATAAGAGCGAGTTGGTTCGATTGGCGGAGAAGGGACTGGCTAGACCCTTTCACCACAAGGTGTTTATTTATAACCAGTACGCAACGAATTTTACTAGGTGAGTGAGATTACACTAGCAGGGACTCCCCTTTGACAGCATAGATTATTGCATTCTCATAAATACAATGTATTCAATTAGACGTTATATTCCTATGGGCTCAGAGGACAGCCTTACAACTGGTTGAAGTCATATCTAGCCAACAGGAGTCAGAGGGTACTGCTGAGGGTTCATGACGCCAACTACTACTCATCCACGAAATTTATAGAGACAGGAGTCCCTCAGGGAAGTATCCTGGACCCTTGTTCTTCATTAATTTCGTGAATGATATTTTACCATATACTGGCAATCTTCTATATTTGCTGATGACCTCTCAGTACACACACTACAGTGTGAAAAATCACCTAATACTGAACATTATGAAAACTGACCTTTCACAGTTTTCTGCCTCAAAATTGAACTACAGTTCATTAGTCAGATCTAAAAATTTGACTGTTTGTCAATCAAATGTTGTCAAATTTCTTGAAGTACATATGGATTCACATTTAAATTAATAAGTACTCTCACATTGATTACATAGGTAAAAAAGTCTCATCCCATTGCTCTGTACTTTGGAGATTGATACATCAATTTGTAGACCGAAATATTCTACTCATGTATTACCACTCATATATCAACTCGTCTTTATCTTATTCAATAACAATTTGGGAAAACTCAAAGAGGGTTAAATCTCTCTTGATATTACAAAGAAAAGTTCTGCGAACAATAAATAACTCTTAAACATCCAACTGACTCCTGCAAAAACGTATTCAAGGAATTATATATTCTTAAATGTGTTATCTTTGTTAAAAAAAAACATCTGTAAGTACACTGTATCAGTTGATATTTTTAATCACCATATAAGATCTACGTCGACTATTAGATTACCCCTATATGCCTTTAAAATTATGTAACCATTCACCTAATGATCTGAAGAATATATCAAATATCTATTTTTTCAAATGTAAAATGAATAAACTTCTACTGCAGTTCTCCCTATACTCGGTAGATGCATATTTCAATATCAAATTTTTCAAAAATGTTTGTGCACTGTTTTCTCATATTTTACTAAATCTTCTATTTGTATATAATAATTGATGTCCCTATACTTAGTATTTAGTAGTAGTTTTTAGTGACTTGTCCATATGTCATGTAATTTGACCATATTTGGAATGAATAAAATGAAATGAAACTTGTACAATCTTCAAAGGGTTGATCTTCGACTGATTTCAAGATAAAAATTTGATATTTCAAGAATATGGGTCCGCAACGGAGCTACCCTCACCAGCATAAATTATTGCATTCTCATAAATACAATATGTTCAATAAGAACTTGTACAATCTTCAAAGGGTTGATCTTTGAGTGATTTCAAGATAAAAAGTTCCTATTTTTTGAACATGGGTCCGCAACGGCTGGGATTTTGAAATGCAGAGCGATAAAGAATATGAGATTACACTATCCCAGATAACACACATACATCCATTGGATGTCCATTTTGAATCCATTAGGTAGCCGGATGTCCATGGATGTCCAATGGACATCCATTGTGTATATGTACAATGGACATAGAGATTTGTACATACAATGGACATCCATTTTGTAGTTGTACAATGGACAACGAAATTTTTACAGCCAATGGATATCCATCATACTTATCCAATGGAAATCGTTTCGCAAAGTATGTATGTGTCATTTTTGACTCTTCTATTTCAATTGAAATATTTTTACCAATAATATATATAATATATTATATATGAACATTAATCACGGACAACTTCGCACTCGGTACTATTTTTCAAGATTTTATACGTCTCATCATTTTTGTAGGTTACGTACCTATATAGAGGTAGGTAGGTACTTATTTTGAAGTTGATTTTCATCCAATTTCAATTTTAAACCATTTAGGCCGTGCAAATAAAATCGATATGGGCAAATATTATACGGCGGGTTTCTTTCGAAAAAGATGAATCACCCTGTAACACTTTTGATAAGGGCCGTGTAAAAGCTTTATTGCGGCACTAAACTTCAGCAAATTGCATTTTCTCTCGATGTGAAATACCGTGAATACGAAATACTTGCTATAATATTTATAACAGCTCAGTGGTCCAGAGGTTAGCGTTGTGATCCATGAGAGCGGGGTCCGGAGTTCGATCCCCTCTAAGGACAACTTTTTTTTAATTTCTACGTTCTGGCTGGACAAAATTTGGATATCCAATGGAAATCCAATGTATTCCTGATAAGTATCCAATAAACTTATCATTGGAATGGACATGAGTTGGATTTTTGGTAGACATCCATTAGAGTTCTGATGTGTATACAATGGTATTTCAAATGTAATGGACATACAATGGATCTTCATTGGGAATCCATTGGATGTCTGATGAGTATCCAATAGACTTCCAATGGAAAGGACAAATATTGGATGTCCAATGGAAATCCATCAGATGTCTAATGGAAAGCCAATGGACTTCCAATGTATGTCCAAACTGTTGGACATGTATTATCCAATGGATGTCCATTGGACAAATACTGGACAATGCCGTCCATCCAATGGATGTCCAGGGTATCCATAGCTGGACATCCATTGGTTGTCCAATGGATTCACTTGTGTTGTCTGGGATAGCACTACACTATAGATTGATCTAAGTTTATTATCTGCTGATACAAGAAATTTTATATATTATATCTTTTCGGAACCCATATGGAGGACGAGTTTTGTAATTATAATCCGATTCTATACAAAATTGGTATCTAGAGAGGCGTTTCTGTGATCGGGGATTATGATTCCTTCGTCAAAATTAGGTAATTCAAGATGGCGGATCCAATGTGCTGCGGACGATTCTTGTGATTATATGATCTGATTCTATTCGAAATATGTGAGTTAAAGTTCTTGGGATCGGAAATTAGAAAATTCAAGATTGCAAAATTCTATTCAAAATTGTCATATAGGGGGTTTTAGGAGTCAAAGAGAAAAACTAAAGGAAGCCAAACTGATTATAGGTAGAAAATAAAATAATAATAGTGCACTACACACTGTTTCACCAAACCGACTTTTTAAACCTCGACATGTGTTTCGCTAGTCGGTTTTGGTAAGTGGTTATACAGTGTGTAGTGTATTATCGTGCCAAAAGTTGCAGTCTTCGATATAATAATGGTGTGTTGATGAATATTCAACTAAAAAAATATTTTCTAGAAATGAATATTTGAAGCAGAACGTTTGCGGGGTGAGCTAGTATTAGTAGTGTTGATTAGAAGATTCCAAATTTTTTTCAGGTGGCAAGCACATAGCAACGACGGACCTAACATCCATATCAGTCATCCAGTGACGAATTTTGAGTTCCTTTACGAGCCATTTTATATCGCTCCTGATACAGTGCCACCACATGACGAACGATTCGTTGGTTATGGATACACGAGAAACAGTCAAGTTAGTATTTCGATTTTTTCCAGAATACACATGATGTGTGATTTCATAAATCGAAAGTAGAAGACAAATCAGTAGGTCCTTAGCAATGAAATTATCATAAAACCTGAGAGGGTCACTTTTGAGGACAGTAACACAAATCTCTGAGACTAAAATACAAGGTGTTTCATAATATATGCACAGGACTTCATCAGGATGAAATAGCTCGCCCAAGAGATATAAAAAAAGTTTCCAGAACGTTGTTTTGGGAATATATTTCTGGAACAGTTCATCTCACAGGAGACAGCTTCTGTGAGCATTTTCTACTCATAATGAGCTATGTTTTGTGCGGAATTTATTGATTTGTAAGTCATAATTGTTGAAGATTTTGAAAGGGTAGTGATTGTTTTTCTCCCTTACTTCTACGCCACTGGAGGAAGTACAGTTTTGAGCCTCCCATTTCAACGGCCAATGTTTTCCACACAAGAAAGATGATATTGATAGAAAGCACTAAAGTTGACGATTTTCGAGAAAAATTATCTTTTATGTTGAAAATCATGGTAATAAGAAAATGTTTTTCACTAATATTGAATAAAATCCATTTAACAAAACCCAACGTAACCTTTGTGTTGCAACATTGAAAAATAAACAATAGCAAATTATACTAATAATTGTTGGGAATGTCTGCGATAAGCTTCAATGCACGCAGCATTCTTCGAAAAATTGACGATGATTTTCAACATAAAAGTAGATTTTTTTCGAAAACGGCATACTTTAGAGCTCATGACCAAGAATATCTCTTTTGTGTAGGAAACTTTGACCGTTCAAATAGGCGACTCAAAACTGTACTGTTTCTAGTGGCATAGAAGTTGTGGAGGGAAGCACTAACTACCACAACAAAATCTTCCTCAATAATTATGACATAAAAATAAATAAATTCCGATTTTTGGAATTGACTCGGCCGTTCCTTGATGGAAATCCATGACGAATGTAGAAACTTCACAAATGATAAGATTCCACAAATTCTCAAACACAACGACATGTTTCGCTAACACAGTAGCTTCGTCAGGTGATATACTGGTACAAGTCAGGTGATATACTTGTACCAGTATATCACCTGACGAAGCTACTGTGTTAGCGAAACATGTCGTTGTGTTTGAGAATTTGTGAAAATCTTATCGTTTGTGAAGTTTTCAATAAATTCCTCACATAACATAGCTTATTATCAGTAAAAAATGCTTCCGAAAGCTGATGTCTTCTATGCGATAAACGGTTCCAGAAACATTCGCAAAAAACGAATGTTTTTTTTTCAAATTTCAACACCCTGTTTCTCGAAAATGGTGCATTTCAGAGGGTAAGTTAATGAAAACTTTTTTTCATATATTTGGATAAGCTATCACACCCTGAAGTTCTGCACATATATTTGGAAACACTCTGTATAGACTGAAAGTTGAGTGGCAGAAAAAACTATAGTTTCCTAAAAAACTGCTGAATTTTTGATAGTATGTAGTACTAAGGGGGCCCAGCTGTCAGTCATCCAGTTTCGTTAGAGCATAGATCTATTAAAGATTAGAGCGGGGGGGCGTCTTCAAATTTATTAAAAAAACATATACAGTGTGTCCCACTTACCATGCTCACCATGGGTATCTTTTTAACGGTGAGAGATACGAGGTCGGTTAAATGACACCAAATGTGGAGTTTGTCAAGGCCAACTATAATGTGAAAAAATATTTTGATAAAATCTATTCGTTTTTGTTTTATAAGCAAAAAACAGATTTTGATCATTTTCATGTCTCCTCCGTAACTTCTTCTTCATTTATGAAAATATTCAAATAGGAATTTCACATTCTTATGGCAATTTTTCAAAGTGATTTCGAAAAAAATATGAAATTTATACCAACTCTTCTGGAATTTGAGATATCAGCACCAACTTTAGTTTTTCAAATGTAGGTCATAGGTCACTATGACTTACTCCGATTAACTTGAAATTTGGCAGGTGTTCATAATTTCGGTGACAATACAATCTTTGTTGAAATTTGAAAAATTGGCTGCTCCAAGATGGCGGACAAGATTTGGTCCGATTCCATTTAAAATTGATAAGTGGGGACTTTTGAGGTCGGAGATCATGATTTTTTTGTTAAAATTTATAAATTCAAGATGGCGGCTTCCAAATAATTTTTTGTTTTTGTATGACGACAGCTCCGTTGTTATCAACACAAAACTATTACTGTGCCATATCATCCGTAAGAGAAAAAAAAGTTATTTCTAACTGAGTCATAGTGAGCAACTAAAGTTGGTGCTGATATCTAAAATTCTAGAAGAGTTGGTATAAATTTCATATTTTTTTCGAAATCACTTTGAAAAACTGCCATGAGAATATGAAATTCCTATTTGAATATTTTTATAAAATAAGAAGTTACGAAGGAGACATGAAAATGATCAAAATCTGTTTTTTGCGTATAAAACAAAAACGAATAGATTTTATCAAAATATTTTTTCACATTGTAGTTGGTCTTGACAAACTCCACATTTGGTGTCATTTAACCGACCTTGTTTCTCTCACCGTTAAAAAGATACCCATGGTGAGCATGGTAACTGGGACACACTGTATGTCGCAACAGTTTTCTCAAATCTGAAAATTAGTTTCTGAATAGTGATTTGACTAAAGAATTGAGGTGAGTTTCCAAATGTATCTTTTTTGCTTTTTTTACGGAGGTCATCGCAAGTTGGTAGGTATATATATTCTGATAGGTTATGAACACCCTGTAAATTCGAATACCTCTGAAACAGCTGCTATTGCTAGAAAATATGTCTGACAATGAGAATTCTAATATCGACATAAATTTATTCAACTAGGACTGAAAATATATGAAGTTCAGAATCAGGTCTCATTTCCTCAACGTCCAAATTTCGTCAAACTATCAACGTCAAATTTCAGCTTGATTATGTGTCTGAACTTCTAGACTCTCTATACAGAGGGTATAATACTTATATTAACTGTGTGTATAGAATTTTTATTTTCTAAAAACAGAAAAATAGAAGTAACATTATTACAAAACGTCGTGTTCAATACGGTCCTGTCCAACTTGGATGGTGTTCGACTGAATTATCGGTATAAATGCCTGACTGATACGACAAAAGTCCGAGCAAAAATCCAAACATAAACACACGATAGATGTACACTCGTCTTCAGTGAACATGTCGCGGTTGGACGCCATGAGCGCTCTTATTGCAGCGATAATCAAGAGAGCTGACACCGTTCATGTGCGACATGTTCTCTGAAGACGACTGTACGTCTTGATACGCACAAGCCTAGGTTCAGTTTTTTCAATTCTGTATCTTTTTTAACGTTCAGTTGTTTTTTCAGGCTAGATATATTTGAAAGAATTGTTTATTTTAACGAGTTACTACACAGTTGAAAAATAATCAACTAAGGAATCTTCCTCTATACAGAGAAGTGCACAAAAACAGCCAATATTGTAACTTTTCTATTATTCTAGATACGGTTTTGAAAATTGGTGGGTAGCAAGTGTACCAAATTGCTTATCAATTGATTGAACAATTTTTCTTCTCTCACTTCCACTTTCACCGGAAACGGCCCCAACTTTTGGTTTGGGACACCCTGTATAGTATTCCATAATCGGTTATGGGTAATCCTGACAAATTCAACGATACCGGGTTCGACAGGGTTATTTCAAACAATTACAAAGATATTTGCGTTCGAAGTTCCAATATCCTCAATGGGTGTGTGACTTCGCAATATCAAAACTCCTTTCTCTATCACACTCATTGAGCATATGGAAACTTAGAATGCGAGTATCTGCGTAATCGTTTGAAATAACCACATCGAACCCGGTATTGATGAATTCGTCATGCCAATTCCTAACCGATTATGGAATACAATACAGGGTGTCCCAAATAAAAATCAAAAGTTGGGGTCGTTTCCTGTAAAAACGGAAGTTATAAAACCAAAACTGTTTCGTCAATTAATGAGCAATTTGATATACTAGCTGCCTACCTATTTTCAGAACCCTTTCTCCAATAATTCAAAAGTTACAGTCCTGACCATTTTTTGTGCCCTTCGCTCTGTATATCAGAATAAAAACTTTCTAATAATATTTTCAGGTGTACGAAATGTTCGTAGCAGGGTACGAATTCCTGGTGCTGTCCCCTATTTTCACCTGCCACTGGGGCTTGCAGGTGAAACGATCCAGACCTCCCTGGCGAGAGCACCAGAACAACCTCAACAGGAAGCAGTTCGACGCTTTCAAGAGGGAGATTTTCGCCAAATACAACAAGGACCCGCTCAATATGATGGCCAATCATAAGACATGATTTTTATCGATCGAAAGTTTGTAAATAAACCATTTCCGAAATGTATACGATTTCAATTTTTTTCTACAATTATTATAGAAATTATCATTCCCACTTTGTTCCTACTGCCGAAACTACAATTATTGTGCTGCTGGCTTATGTTTGTTGACTCCAGTTTCCCCAAGTTTCTTTCTATTATATAGGTATCTATACCGGGTGTCCCAGTATACCTGATCCAATGAATTATCTCAGATATTTCGAAAAGTACAAATTCGGAAATTTTATGATCTCCAATTCGTTTAAGGAAGCTTCAACTGAGAAAAACAAAAATTGAAAATCACTTCCGGTTTGACCGGAAGTGACTAACTTTTTTATTTCAAATAGCACCCTGTATAATTTTTGCAATTTTTTATTTCTACTCAATTTAAATTTGATTTGATGGAGAAAACGCTAATTGAAATTTCAAATTGAAGGAATTGCAGTAGGCTACGATATTTTTGTAATCTTGATTTTGACTTCAATAATAATTTCAAATTATCAGAATTGTAGTAATAAGTAGATCATGTAATTTTCAAATTTTCATCTTCCGAAATGGCTGAGATAATCTATTGGAACAGGTATACTGGGACACCCGGTATATGAAGTATAACAAAGAGCTGATTTCCCATTATTTTGCTGCAGGAACTTTGAAGAAAAAAATTTTAATCATGAACTATTCCGTACCCTGTATCTCAAGACAGTATTTATTTGAGACGAACGTTGATGAAAACTTCTCACTTCATAATGAAGGTACAAAGTTGGTCTGAGATCTTAATCTATTGAGTAGAGGCATAATTTGCAGAGTACCATAAACACATAATGCTGATATTATACGAGATGTCGATATTACTTCTCAACCTACGGAATATTTCCCACGGGAAAAAAGTAATTTATGAAAAGTGACATTTTATAACCTGCCAACAGAGATGAAATGCCAAACTTTTCTCCCGTCACAGAAAAAACTGTCTTAGTGATTACCCTGATTAATCTGGATCGGTATACCAAGTTCCATATTTTTGCTATAGGGGTTCTGAAGAAAATTAGAGAAATCTCAACTTTTTTCGTACTTTCGACACCCTGTATCTCAGTGAGGATGCATTTTAGGACATACACGTTATTGATAGGAACTGTTTCACCTCAAAATGAGATGAGTAATAATCCGTGTACGAAGTTTGTCCGTCTTATTCTGATTCACCCTGAAGACCTTGTTTTTTATCAATTTCATTGTAGATGGTGAGGTGAGGCCAAAGATTATAGGTATCATATACAAAGCAAAAGTAATCAAGTTTATCGACTATTGATGGCCACCGTACTAATTACTTTTGTTTCCAATAAAATATCAATTTCAGCCAATGACCCGTATTCAGTTCATTAGGAATATTTCATAAATGAAGAGGTGTCATTCGATTCCATCATTCAACTAGTGCGATGATGATTTCGTTATGGTTTGTGTTTTTTTGCGTTAATATCATCGGTGAGTACTACAATTACTATACCTATAGTTCTAATGCCTTGATTCGGAAATTAAAGTATTGAAATCACTACAGTTGCTCTGTTAATGGTTTCCATTTTGATGGGTTGAAGAAGAATTCGAAACAAGACGAAAATTATGAATTAGTAATCTTGAACTTTTTTGGTAGGACGAATTATTCTTTCAATTCAAAACAAAAAGTAGCACTTCCAGAAGATATCGAGTCAGATCTATTAGGTGAAATAAAAATCGAATGTTTCAAAATTTCCCAATAGGTGGAAGGCTGAAACAAGAAAAAACAATTCCCTATTTGAAGAAAAAGACTTCGAATTCATTGAACTTTTGAAATCAGTGGAACAACTAACGAAAATTTCAGAAATAGTCTTTGAACAACACAATGCTTAATTAATTTTCAACTAGATGAAAGACTATTTTCAATGCTGAATTCGAGATTCATTAAGAATTTTAACTGAATTTTTTTTTTATATGACTCCATTCATCTATCTGGGTTCCAAAAGGAAACTGCTTCATTCGACCCACCCTGTACCAATGTATATATCAATGAGCGAACTTTGTCATTTCTTGACATTTGTAGAAGAAAAGTTCTGTTCCGCGCATCTATAATAACTTCCAAATTAATTTGCGATTAGATTGAAAATAGGAACATAAATTTATTTTTATTTATTTATTCATTCACATTTGTTAAGGGTGCTATGGATAGCCATAATGCATAATATTTTGCTGTTATTCGAATCGAAAAGGCTGATCTCAATTTTTTTCTACTGAGAAAATGATAGAGGTGGTAGACACCTCAAAGTAGTCAAATGTTTAGGAAACATTTCCGTCGAGTGTTTGTCGGAATTCGGCATTTTTTGTTTTGAATGACAGGTTATTTCCTTCTCACCATCTGTCTGCAAACTGCATATTCGCATAAAAAACCTCCTTTTTATATTTATTATTTTCATACCAAGTGTAGCAATTACAACGTATTTTTTTCATGAAATACGTACCTATAAGACCCTGTAAAGTGTAATGGTTTCACTATCGAGTTTAGAACTGAAATCACACTTATTCAGCGTTATCTTTTTTCACCATTTCTTTCTTGGATTCACTCCATCATCTTTCATATTACTCGAGAAACACCTCATTTTATAGCGTAACATGACATTATGGACAATTAATATTCAAATTATATATCGAAACAACCTCGGAAAAAACGAAACAGAATGCGCAGTCACGAGTTGAACGAAAGGGTCAGAAGCGAGTATTTCCGCCGCGGGCAAAATGTCCAGATATTCTCAATGGGATTAAAACGAGCTTGCCATGTCATATGATAGTGATACAGACCTCCTCTAGGTAATCCCTCACAACTCAGACGACGTGAGGCCTGGCATTATCTTAACATACTCACACTTGATGTGGTTGTAAAATCACCGATATGTACACTTCAGCTGTAAGGCTTTTCATGATCACTAGTTCCATGCGACCAGTCAAAGAATTGCTTTCCCAGACCATAACCTGCTACTTTCGTGCTTATAATGCCAATTGAATTCAATAAAACAATGTTATGCTATAAAATTGTGTTGCTGGAGAAATAGGCAAGATAATCATGAAGTGAATCCAACAAGGAGAGGTTGAAATCAATAGAGTTGAAGTGTTGCCACGAACGTTAACGTTAACGTAGAAATTGACAGCTACGCATGCGCATTTTTCAATTCTTCACGTTCGCGTTGGTAGTGGGCTTACGGGTGTACGTTATCTCACGTACTTTCACGTATACCTTAAATATCAACGTACGTTAACCGAATCAAACTCGAAATATGCCGATGAGTCAAAATCATCAAATTCGGGATCCTTAAGGAGTTCTGCATCAGGGCAACCTTCCATTTTAACACGAATAAATGTTTTGATCTAAACAAACAACCAAAACTGACCAATACAAACCGATAACATAATTTGTTATAACGCAACTGGTTACGTAAAGTAAGACGTTTCAAAACTTCCGTCAGTTTTGAAAAGTGTCACATTACATGTCAAAATTAGAAAAACGTTATTTTTCGTACTTTAACGTTTACGTGGAGGTCTACGTACAGTGATTACTTCAACTCTCTAATATTAGGCTGTGGAGTCTACTTTCAATTTCAACTTGATAACGTAACTGTTACAATTCACAGTTTATTACAAATTTCATGAAAAAAAGACGCTTTGATTATTGCTTCAACCGGTATTCATAAAAAAGAGTTCTTGTGCCAATATAGTTTGCACACAAATGTTGAGAAGGAAATAACCTCTGTCATTCAAAACAAAGAACGTCCTGATCAGACAAGTAGTTTTGACAAAAATGTTTCCCAAACTTTTTGCTGGCGCAGTAATTTCTTGGACAATTTAATTCATGTATGAAAAATCCCACAAGCCGCGGGATTTTGTCATTATGATAGCGAAAAAAGTTTTCTTTTTTAGCGACAATAACGGAACCTAACTTTTGTAAGTAAACTTGGCATTTATAATTTGAATCTTGTTGCTATTAGGTAATTCAACTAAAAAAACTGCCAGAAAAAATTACTCGTCCTATACGGACTCGTAATTTTTTCAGAGGCAGTTTTTTTTCGTCAAATTGCCAGGCAACGAAATTCTTATTGATACATGTCAAGTTTACTTCAACAAAAAAAAGCTCTCGTGTAATTATAACTGAGAAATGACGACATCACCATATCCAACCACAACGTATCATTCCACAGCTGTCCACCCCGACGACGACCCCAAAATCGTAGGCGGCCTCGACACCGACATCACCATCTACCCCTACCAACTATCCCTCCAATACCTAGGCGAGCACTCCTGCGGGGCAGCCCTCATCGCCCCCACGTGGGCCCTAACCGCTGCCCACTGCACCGATGGCGCCTTCGTCCCTTTCCTCTCCGTCCGCGCAGGCTCCTCCCTCCGAGGGCGGGGCGGTATAGTAGTGGGGGTAAGACAAAAGCACCAGCACCAGCGGTACAGCGCCACAACGATCGATTACGACGTAGCGTTACTAGAGCTCGACGAGGCTATCACGAGCGACTACGCGGAGATAGTGCCTTTACCGGCAGCGAATAGTAAAGTGAGCGAAGGACAGATGGCTACGGTGACCGGTTGGGGGACAGAGACGGAAGACGGACGGATATCAAGAGTGCTGAAGATCGTGGAAGTTCCGATAGTGAGCAATGCCGATTGTCAACGAGCGTACGAGGGTACGAAGATTACCAAGAGGATGTTTTGCGCGGGATTTGTGGATGGTGGTAAGGATGCTTGCCAGGGGGATTCTGGGGGACCGGCTATTGTTGATGGGGTTTTGGCGGGGATAGTGTCTTGGGGGTACGGGTGTGCAAGGCCGAAACAGCCGGGTGTTTATACAAATGTGGCTGCTGTTAGGGATTATATCAAATTTGTAAGCGGGGTTTAGATTTTATATTTTTTGAATTCATATCGATAACTTAGGATTCACTACGTATATGCATGAACTTACGGTGTATTATTACTGAATAAATGCCGAAAGGCTTCCTATGAAATTATTTTTTGGAGGCAATTCAGAGAAATATTCAATACATACATGAAATAAGATTCAAAATTTATATCGAATGTGTTACTAAACGTGAGAAACTTCACAAACGAGAAGATTTCCACAAAATTCTCAACATGATATGTTTCGTTTCTTCACATGAAATTCTCGTACAATAAACTAGTTCACCTGAAAAAGCTGATGTGGTGGCGAAACATATGTCGTGTGATTATAGGAATTCTGTGGAAATCTCATAGTTTGCGAAGTTTTTTATATTCACCATGGATTTTAATGAAGTAACGGCCGAGTTGATTGAAACAGTGTTGCTAAAATGTTTATTTATCCGTAAGTTTGGAAGTTGAACTTCGTTAAGCAGGATATTATAACAATCAGTTATGCGAATGGATTGGGCGATAATGAAACAAACTGAAAAACAATAAATAACTTGAATATTTTCGAAATTCATGTGTAGAGTTCAAGCGCTACTTGGATGGAACAAATTCCGTTTCACCTCAAAATCCACAAATTTTAGCGAAACCGCTATTCGTGTTATCTTCTTCTCTGCCTACCTTTGTGCCGTCCAAGAAGCGCGAGGACTCAACAAGTAACATTTGGAGAAACACATGGATTGGGCAGGCTCCTCCCTCCGGAGGTGGGGCGGTCTAGTAGTGGGGGTACGATATAAGCACCAGCACCAGCGGTACAGCGCCACAACGATCGATTACGACGTAGCGTTACTAGAGCTCGACGAGGCTATCAGCGAATAGTGAACTGAGCGAAGGACAGATGGCTACGGTGACCGGTTGGGGGACAGAGACGGAAGACGGGCGAATATCAAGAGTGCTGAAGATCGTGGAAGTTCCGATAGTGAGCAATGTTGATTGTCAACGAGCGTACGAGGGTACGAAGATTACGAAGAGGATGTTTTGCGCGGGGTTCGTGGATGGTGGTAAGGATGCTTGCCAGGGGGATTCTGGGGGACCGGCTATTGTTGATGGGGTTTTGGCGGGGATAGTGTCTTGGGGGTACGGGTGTGCAAGGCCGAAACAGCCGGGGGTTTATACCAATGTGGCTGCTGTTAGGGATTATATCAAATTTGTTAGCGGGGTTTAGATTTCATATTTTTTTAAATTTGTATCGATAATTTAGGATTCTCAATGTATATGCATGTACTTCGGCTGTATTTTCACCAAATAAATGCCAAAATTCGAAGCTTTCCATGAAATGATTTTTTTGGAGAAAATCCAGAGAAATATTCGATACATGAATTCAAAATATCTATCGAATGTGTTGCTATACGTGAAAAAATTCAGGAACGATGAGATTTCCACAAAATTCTCAATATGATGTTTCGCTTCTTCACATGAAATTCCCGTACAATGAACTAGTTCACCTGGAAAAGCAATTATGGTGGCGAAACATGTCGGGTGATTAGTAATTTTGTGGAAATCTCAAAGTTTACGAAGTTTTTTATATTCACCATGGATTTTCAATCAAGTAACGGCCAAGTTATTAGCGGGCTTTAATAACACAATAACATCTGTAAGACGTCGTAGAAACATCCATATGGGATGATAGGAACATCTCTGGAAAATCCCTATTTTCCTTAGGACATTCTTGGGATGTTGCTGGCAACACCCATGTCAGCATTTGCGATGTCTTATAAACATCCCATCAGAATGTTTGTGGGATGATATGGGATGTACCAGAGACATTCAGGGTACTTGATATGAAACATCTTGAAGAAACTTTTAGGATGTTTTTTGTTTGATGACACGGTATGAATTATTTTCAATCTGAAATCCTGAAAATGGCCGACCTATTTCCAGATATAAAGTAACAATCAGAATCCGAAAATATAAGGTCGGTGCGGCCCAATAACTAAATGGAAGATGAGAACAGTTGTTTGAGGCTCATATTTGTTGGCGCTGGGCCGACGGCTGTTAGTAACTCTTAGCAACGTAGTTGTACCGCCATCTATCGGCTGGTATAACAAATAAATTCAGCAATAAATATGCTGAAGAGATATATTTCAATTTTGTCGTTTATTACATGGTTCATGAAGTTACGCAGGTACTTTGGTAATCTTATTGAGGAATATTTAGTATAATCATTTCAATTTGTTATCGATAAAATTACGAATACATTTTTGGTTTCCATTTTTTACCAACTTTTCAATGTTTCAAATGTCACAATTGTTTGAACTGTTCAATCATGTCAAGCATCAATAGCAAATAAGGAACCATGATATTGTTTATAAAAAAAAGATCAAATGGGATGTTTCTCCCGAGAGAAACATCTCTGGGATATCGCACCAAGTCTGAAATATTGGGACATTTGTAGGACCTTAGCGGGATGTACCAGCAAGATCCCGTGTTCTTAGTTAGAGAACGATTTGCATTGTCTATTTTTGAATTTGTGTCGATAATATATAGGATAATACTGGTGATTTTCAACTTATATGCATGGCCTTGGGAGGCAATCAATCCAGACAAATAATGAATAGACAAAATATGATCCTAAACCGATGTTCATAGTGTGGTGTTCATTTCTCCGTAAGATTTACCAACTTGGGAATTCAATTTAATTTAGCAAGATATACTCACTGAAAATAAGTTATGCGAATGGATTGGGTGACAATAAAACAAACTGATGTTTAACAATAAATTATTTGGATATTTTCAAATTTTATATGTACAAGTAAAAGTTGGAGAAATACTTTCAGTATACATAAATTACAAATGAGGAAATACGAGGGTGGAGCTTATATCATCATATGAATCAGTTATTCAAAATTGTTCAATTGGTTAGCAACAATTAAAGTTTTAAAAAATGATCATAACTTGAAATCTAAATATATCTTCGACAAATTAAAGCTAATGTTGCTTTAAATATGACACTTTCAGTATTAGTTCAGATAGTCTATACTAGAAATACTGCATTTTTGAATAATATTAGCTTGACCCTCGTATCTAAAAAAGCAGTAAGTATGGAGTTTTCATGTATATTTTAAAACATTTTCTATAACTATGACCCCAGAATTTTTTTAATAAACAATAATTCAAATTTTGACAAGAAAATTTTATGTTTGCAAAAGATCATTTTATTCGATGACTGTTGCAAAAATAAAGAATTTCATTATGGTTGGCATGCTAGAAAATTTCTGCGATTACACTTTGAATCATCGAAATTCGTTTTAAGCATTTTGACAGGCTAGAAGTAGATCCCCTTTCTGAAATCTCCGATACTCTTACTTAACTTTGAGCAGCTTTTTCGCCGCCTCCACAACATTCTTTGATTGTGGCAACGCCGCAACCTCCAAGCTTTTCGTGTAAGGCATCGGCACGTCTGCTCCGGTAATTCGAATCGCCGGTTGATCCAAATGGAAAAATACCTCGCTCTCCATGATTTTGGCGAGAATTTCCGCGCCTATGCCACAAGTAGGCCATCTACAAAAATATTGCATTTTCGAAAAGGAATATTCTTCTCTCGAGTTCTTTCCCAGCGAGCACAAAAATATATCAGAGATCAGATTGCAGTCAACAACGGATACAACGTTAATTTGTTAGACAGTATTCTTTCTAAAAAACTCCAAGAAGTTTGATGGTAGGATGGTAGGAATATTAATCAAAATCATAGAACTCTAACTTATTTTGGATCATCAGCTGAAAAATTAGCTTCATTTCTACATAAACAGGACTTAAAAGTAGCATATAGAACAAATAATACGTTGGCAAGGTTAATCAAGAATAATACAAAATATACAAACTCAACTGTGGATCTTGTCCTAAGGTATATATCGGTCAGACAGGTCGTACGCTCAATCAGCGCATTCATGAACATAAGACGAATTTTTGGAAAAAAAAACAAATTCAACATACGCCAACCATATATTAGAAGAAAACCATAGTTTTGATGATAATTTCGAAATTCTACACGTAAAAAATGAAGGAATGAAACTCAATCATTTCGAATCATTAGAAATCAACCTTTCAAGTTAATCTGGTGCACCGTATTTTAATGTAGATATTGTGCCTAATTTCCGAAAATGGAGGTTTATAGAACCTGTCCACAGGTAACTAATCCTTCAGGTTGGGAAAGTAGGATATATAAGCAAGCCAATGTTAGTTTAGTTCATCGTAAAAGTCTCGTCTCGTCTTGTCCGAGTCTCGTCTCGAGTCTTGTCTCGAAAACGAGACTCTCGCGGGTACCACTAATATCATATTTTGATACGATTCTGTATATTCTCAGAACATTCTGACAAAATGTCGAATTGAGTGTTCAAGGAATATTTGTTGCCAGGATGGAAATATTCTATGATCATTGTGGGCAGAACATTATATCAGAATATTCTTGAATAAGTATAGGTACGAACGTTCTGAACGTTGTCAGAATATTCGTAAAATATTCTAAGCTATCTGGGATATTATTACGAATTATGGACCACATATAGGTACGAACGTTTTGAACGTTGTCAGGTTATTGTTAATTAGGATGAATAAGTTCTGAGGAGAATAGGAGGTCGTTGGTATTGTACCTAATAATGGAATAAATGGAAGACGCTACAAACGCGAATGCGAACAAGAACAACAAAATCGAAAAAACTAGAATTCATCGTATTATTGTGACGTAACCATGATGAGTTTTGGTGGGGTAAACAAAGAAATGGCTCAGAAGAACAAAAACAACTTCCAATATCCTTCAGAGACCTCTTTGGGAAGTTATATCACGTCTCAAAAAAACATCGTCATGCCAATATTTTCAAAACATCCCAGGGATACATCTCAGTAAGCACACAAATAAATGCCACAGAAGAACAAAAACCATACTTCAATGTCCTTCAAAGACCTCTTTGGGATGTTATATCACGTCTCGAAACAACATCCTCATGCCAATATTTTTAAAACATCCCATGGATACCTCTCAAAAGGTACACAGAGAAATGCCACAGAAGAACAAAAACCATACTTCAATGTCCTTCAAAGACCTCTTTGGGATGTTATATCACGTATCAAAAAAACATCCTCATGTCAATATTTGTGCTCGCTGGGTTCTGCCTTGTGAAACATCTTTCGTTTTTTTTTTTCTTACTACTTACCCTTGTTCGACGGAAATGAGATGATTTGTTTTCATCACAGATTTTCCGATGGTTTCAATATCTAGGGGTCTTAAGGATCGTAAGTTGATGACTTCAACTTCGATACCTTTTCCCGCTAATTCATTAGCTGCTTCTAAGGACGTATCGACCGCTTTCGAATGGGCTACTATTGTTATGTGTTTACCTGATGAAAATGAGAATATTACGAATTTTTTAGAAATTTTATGAATTTTAAAAATAACATTTACTCTCAATTTCGTGTGAGCACAAGTGTATAGTCAAGTCCAAAAATAACTTCCTTATCACCTGGACAGCACTGTACATTTTTCACAGTGAAAATAATGAGACTGGAATTATTTTTTCCCATTTTATAAGAATCAGTTCTATAATAATAGCAATAAAATCTTCAATTTTGAATTATTCTGCCTTTAACTAATTCATATTATAAATTATATACCGGGTGACACAGGGTATCGGGCCACCCCTGTAACTTCTGCATTCGTCAACGGATTTTTCTGAAATTCGGTACAGTTATATAAGCAATTATTTCGGATTTGATCACATTACAATCCAATATGGCGGACTTCCGGTATTTCTGGAAATGCCAGCAACTTTGTTTTTTCAAATGAAACACCCAGTATATTTTTACATATTCAAGTTCAACAGGTCGAAACAAGTGCAATCTTTATTTCAAATGTCATTTTTTCGAAAAAATTTAAATTAAAATTGTTTTTTCATTTCACCTCGTGGATAAATGAGATGTGGTCAAGACTATTCTCAATGAGTCAAACATAACAGAAGAACATAATTTTTTCTGAAAAATTATTTTTTGTGTCACTTATCCAGGAATCAATTCATCCACATCACTTTTCGATCAAAAATCAATTTTTTTCAATTGGAACCCCTATGGGCCACCTACCCGTTCCTCTAAAACATACATTAAGGAACAAGATGACATATCATCTTTGTTTTTCGGTGCAGTAACAAATTGTATACATTCAAAAATCAAAAACTAGTTTATGAATTTCCTTGCAGTTAGAATAATTTTTCAACAAGGTAAGCTGTGGAATAAATGACATTAGACATCGAGATTGCACTTGTTTTGACCTGTTAAACTTCAATATGTAAAAATATACAGGGTGTTCCATTTGAAAAAACAAAATTGCTGGCATTTCCAGAAAAACCGGAAGTCCGCCATATTGGATTGTAATGTGATCGAATCCGAAATAGTTGCTTATATAACTGTACCGAATTTCAGAAAAATCCGTTGACGAATGCAGAAGTTACAGGGGTGGCCCGATACCCTGTGTCACCCGGTATATAATTATACAATCCTCAAAATTGTTCTAGAATTTGGAACGCTAAAAGCGAAAAACCTCTCTGTATCTCGAATGACCTGCCATTTCTTAAAACCTCAGTTGTAGATCGCAGTAATAATATAACGAAGCAAGAAAAAAACAAACGAAGAAATCAACAGCAACAATGTTGATGTCATAAACGTGAAAATTGAAACAAAAATTGGTCATGGCTCCTTAAATATTGTCACCAGCTGATCATGGTCTTATTCGATTCTGCATGTCATTTTCTACTGGAAAAGCGATAATTTGCGTGGACTTCCGCCGTTTTCTGGCTTTTTCGGCCGTCCGAAGACGGCTCGGTGACTATATCGTACGGAAGTCTTAGGTGGGAAAATGACAATTTTTATTTGGCTTACTAAAAATCTGAAAAAAATCACATAGACTAATTCGATGTCGTAATGAACGAATCTGTGGTGGAAATCGGGAAATTTTGGAAAATGGAGACGTAATAGCCTACCGGAGTGCTATTAGCAATAAAAGCGGGAAGCTGACTTTGAGCACCCATATCTCGGAAACTATCTGTCCTATCGGGCTGATCATAGTCTCATTCGATTCAGCGTGTCATTTTCTACTAGAAAAGTGATAATTCGCGTAGATTTCCACCGGTTTCTGGCACTTTCGGCCGTCCGAAGATGGCTCGGTGACTATATCGTACTGAAGTCTCAGGTGAGAAAGTGACCATTTTTATTCGGCTCATTAAAAATCTGAAAAAAATCACATTGACTAATTCGATGTCGTTATGAACGAATCTTTGGTGAAAATTGGGAAATTTTGGAAAATGGAGACGCAGTAGCCCACCGGATTGCTCCTATTAGCAATAAAAGCGGAATGCTGACTTTGAGCGCCGATATCTCGAAAACTGTCTGTCCTATCCGGCTGATCATAGTCTCATTCGATTCAGCGTGTCATTTTCTACTCGATAAGTGATAATTCGCGAGGATTTCCGCCGTTTCCTGGCACTTTCGGCCGTCCGAAGATGGCTCGGTGACTATATCGTACGGAAGTCTTAGATGGAAGGATATATCTCCATGGATACACATTCAGGACAATCAGTTTATTTATCAAACTATGCTTATTTTTCAATGTTCTATCATCCCCAGCAAGCTTGGTACACATTTTTTACTCGCTCTGTATGATAGAGATCACAATAAATATGGTTAAGTGTGAATTCAAATTAGGTATATTCTAAGTTAGTTCAAAGTTTAGTTTGGAACTTGATAGAAAATGGTTTGTTTGAATTGAAGGGGCAAGTGGAAGATGGTGTCAAGTAACATTTTCTGAAAATATTAGGTTATGTCATTGAAGAAGGTGTTACGTGGAAGGAGCTATGTACACATAGCCTAACATGTCAGGAAATGGAAGGAAAGGTTATGTAAACATAAATCCAGATGTCGATCGAAGACTGATATGATAACAAAATGCTGTAAATCATTAAAAATCAACCTTGAACTATTTCTCACAATTGCATAATAGTATATTATGTAACAAGTGTTATGAAGGTCCTTTTAATAACGAGTATTTCAAGCAAGAGTGGAGCAGAGCGGAGCGAGTGTTTAAAAAACGAGTGTCTAGAAGAGTTTATAAACGCGTTACATACTATGCTTTTTCCACGAACTCCGAAAATAACATTAACATACCTGCTATTCCTGTTAACCTACAAAATCATTCGAAAGGAATGAGAATTGAGAACATAATACATGCAACTGCATGCAACCAGCGAGACACGTTAAGTGAAATTGGTTGGAGATGTGTCCAGTCCATTGCTTACTAACCTTTGTTTCACGTTGATCGTCATGCTTAGCGCAGAATTCATGAATTGTTCTCAAAAATGGATGCTTCATTTTTATAATTCTTGGAGATATGCAAGTACCAGAACATTCTCTTCGATTTCACTCTCGTCTACTTTTCGCATATATTTTTAATCAAGAATTCTGATACAAACGAATATTCTTTGAATAATTATTATGATACGAAATTTGAAGATAACAGTTGACAGTTAATACAATTGACAGGCCAGACATGTCTCAAATTACTGAAGCTGTGTTTAATGAACTGTGTTGCCATGGTAATCTGTTTAAGAAATCGTGTTGCCATGGTGACGTGTTTAATATCTTGAATAAATCACAGATCCTCATTTCGTGTTAATTGATCATTTAGCGTGGTACATATCCGTACACTATATGCCATTTTAGTTATGTGAGTAGAAAAATAAAATCATCAAACTAGCTTCCATTAAAAAATGCCAGCTAACTTTACTGAAACCTATTTTCCTCACAATCTCATATTTGTAACATAACTCCTTCTTTCTCTTGCCCCTTCAATTGTTTAGAGATGGACTTGACTAAACATCTTACAGAAAAAGAAAATCAACGATCAATTTACCTGGTCTTTCTATTTTAGCTTTTCCTATTGGTAAAACGAAATCTTTACTCAGAGCTTCGTCGGACATTGTATATTGAACACCGTATAAAATTTCGTTTTCTAAGAACACAACTGGATCCGGATCTCTGATGGCAGCTTTTAGTAGTCCTTTACAGTCTTCCGAGTTGTAGGGAGATATCACCTGGTATTCGTAAATTATGGTCGATAAAATATTATGATCTGTTGCCAAAGATGATAAAGAATTATTAGTTTTTCCGATGTAGATTTCTCTCGAAATATACAAGTTTTCATTGGAAAAACTGATATTGGGTATTTTTCAATTTCTTGGGATTCATTCCCAATCACCTGGAATTTTCTTTGAAATTTCTTGTGATAACTTGGTAGTATCTGAAAATTGTTGCTGATCTTTGGAAATACATTGACTGTTCTCGTAGTTTCAACATATCTTCTAAAATTTAAAGTTGACAATTTATATTGGTGATTTCTCTATTCTTTCGAATGTATTGAAACTCTTTGGAAATCAAATTCTGACAGAAATCAATTAGTTTTTGGAATTCTTTGAGATGGCTTGAAATTTCCCAGGACCTTTTGATAGTCCTCGACGAATTCTTGGCAGTTTTCCAAGCACAAGAGCTGATCTTTGTTTAATCCATGAAGCTTTAAGCGATTAATATTTTATAAAAGTTTATATACCTTGGAATCACTTTGAATGTTACACAATGACTAAGGATTCCATAGGTTTGGAATTTGCTCCATTCTATGAAAAATTTCAACCTGAAAACTGATCATTGTTACTTTCAGTCACCGTGGAATCTTTCCGGAATTCTTTCTATGATAGAAATCTGTAATTATCCATCCCGAAAATAACGAATGAAATACAGATCAAGCAAGTAGGTATGTGAATCTTGAAGACTTCCCTGATCAAAACAAAAATACTTGACTGAGATGTTTATAATTCCAATACTTAACTGAAATAAGGTGTATTTTTATCTCCAGCATGGGTATGAAATGCCAAATCTGCCAAAATCGGAAACAAATCAGGTATATGCGTCCCAACTCAAATAACCAAGCATAACAATGCTGTATGTTGTTTATCGTTGATGACGTCTAGTACATCCTTTTAGGTTCCTAGGAGCTCAAGTTCAACTTTAGCTCCTAGGAACAAAAGTTCAACTTTAGCTCCTAGGAACAAAAGTTCAACATTAGCTCCTAGGAACAAAAGTTCAACTTTAGCTCCTAGGAACTAAATATGTTGGCTAGCAACATACCTATTTTTGTGTCAGAAATGTCAATTCGAGAGCTAATTTTGGTATCAAAATGGACGACTTTTGTGTCGGTTGCAGAATTTCCGTAGATTTTAGAAAATTCAAAAAAATCCCTTTTTCCCTAATTCCCGTCAAATATTCCATCAATTTACCTTGAGCCCAGGACAATGGGCGTACCAAGCCCCGAAACACTGCGAATGTTGGGCCGCCACTCCAGCGGCTGCCCCATTGGGTCCCCTGAAAACGATGGGCACATTCACCCGCCCAGCTGACATGTAAAAAGTTTTGGCCGCCGAATTGATGATTTGATCGATCGCCTGCATGGCAAAGTTGAAGGTCATGAATTCGCAAATGGGTCGAAGACCAGCCATGGCAGCACCAGTGGCAATACCTAGAAAAGTTTGCGAAATCAGTTTTTCGCATGGAATTGGCTTGTGCCACACTGTATTTTTTTCTATTCACGAAACACTGAAAGAATTAGCCGTTTTTGAAATTCGAACGTTTTCTGCTTCCCCTGTATTATTACATTCTAACAACGTTAGACATTTCACTGAATCTAAATTCATTGAAAGTATATTCTTCTACTTCGAGGAATTTACTAAATACAAGCTTTTTTGCTTCGGAAATCTGGCAGTATTAGTGGCAATACCTAGAAAATTTTACTGCTCAAGAAATCAGTTTTTTTGCATGAAATTGGCTTATGCCACACTATACTTTCATCTATTCTCGAAGTACTGAAAGAATTAGACGTTTTTGAAATTCGAACTTTTTCTGCTCTCCCTGTATTTTTACATTCTCACAACGTTAGACATTTCACTGAATTGAAATGCATTGGGAGTATAGTCTTCTAATTCTAGGAATCTACTAAATACAAGTATTTTTCTTTCGGAAATCTGGCAGTACCAGTGACAATATCTAAAGAATTTGCGGCTCATGAAATCAGTTTTTTTGCATGAAATTGGCTTATGCCACACTATACTTTCATCTATTCTCGGAGTACTGAAAGAATCAGACGTTTTTGAAATTCGAACTTTTTCTGCTCCCCCTGTATGTTGATATTTTAACAACGTTAGACATTTCACTGAATTGAATTTGCTTGGGAGAATATTCTTCTAAACACTAGCACTTTACAAAATACACGTATTTTTGCTTCTGAAATATGTGATTTTATTAAATTCAAACTTTTTCAGTTCCCCTGTATCATCAATTGTGAAGTTTTTCACGAGGTGCCAATTCAGTTTCTTTGGAATTCGACCATTTCCTGCCCCCTTCCTTTTCATCAAATTAGTGATTTCATTATTGTATTCAAATTAATTGTGGAGATATCCTTTTTAATACTAGGTAGTAATTTACTAAAGTAAAGTATTTTTGCATCTGATATCTGAGATTTTATGGAATTCAAACTTATTTGCTCCCCTATTACCTGAAATATTTTTGTTATTCAAACAGTTTGTGATCCTAATGTATCAGAAAGATCGAAAAAAATCGGACTTTTTGCAAATCTATCTTTTTTGCTCTCCCTGTATCAGAACAATCAGAACAGTTATCAAAAAAAATAGGACCATGGAATTCAAACTTTCTGTGCTCTCCCTGTTTCAAAACAATTTTCAAAAATTAGGATTGTACTCCAACTATTTGGATACTTTCGATGTTCTGGAATGCTCAAAAATTCGAGATTTTGCTTGAAAAGAGCTTGAGCCACACTTTATTTTAATCAAATCACAAGGTATCAGTTGAATTAGACATTTTTGGAATTCGAACTTTTTCTGGCCCCCCTGTATCACCCACCTTTGACATTTCACTAAATTGAAATTTACTGGAAAATATTCTACTAAATACTAGGACTTTTCTATATTCAAGTATTTTTGCTTCTGAAATCTGAGATTTTATGAAAATCAAACTTTTTCTGGCTCCCCTGTATTACTACATTTCTGCTCCAGTGGCAATACCTAAAAATTTGCCCCTCAAGAACTCGAAATTTTGCTTGAAAAGAACTTGTGCCACACGTTATTTTAATCAAATCACAAGGTATTTGTAGAATTAGGCATTTTTAGAATTCGAACTTTTTCTGGCCCCCCTGTATCACCCACCTTTGACATTTCACTGAATTGAAATTTATTGTGAAAATATTCTTATAAACACTAGGACTTTACTAAATTTGAGTATTTTTGCTTCAGAAATCTGACATTTTGGTAAATGTTTGCCCCTTCCCCCTGTATCATGAATTATGAAGTTTTTTCTGTGACGGGAAAAAAGTATGGCATTTCATCTCTGTTGGCAGGTTATAAAATGGCACTTTTCATAAATTACTTTTTTCCCGTGGAAAAAAAGTGAGTACTTTTTTCTCGGATATACAGGGTGTTAACAAATAAGTGTCACAACGGAAAACTGTAGATTCCTCATGAAAAAAGAATATTTTTTTTCCTTTACGAAATTTTTCTCCGGGCTTCCGTTTTCAAGATACAGGGCGTCAAAAAAAATAAAAAAATTCAGTTTTTTGCTCTTATCTCGGGAACCGTTTGAGCTACAGAGCTGAGCCTGTGTACACACTTCATCATCAATAATGACTACTTGTAAGGCTCTCGAGCAATTTCCTTGGACATGTCAGTGGCGGAGAGTTCAACGCCTCGTAAGGGTTTAACCCCCCAAACTTTCATGCCACTGGAGAAATTGTAATTTTCAAAGCACATTCTGAAGCGCTAATATCTTTCACACAAAAAAGGTCCTCTTGCTTCAATGCTCTGAAGTGAACAGTTTTCGAGAAAAATGGCAATTTATGAATAAAAACATACAAAATCGTACTACAATTTTTTTTTCGAAAAATATTCAAATTGTAATTGAAATACTATGTTATCATTAACAATAATTACAGCAACAATTAACTAAATTTGGAAGAAAATTCTTCAACACCTTAATGATCCAAATATCACAATAGTTGTTCAAAATTACGACCCCCGACTTCATTGCAAGCATTGCATCTGCGAATCATATTTCTTTGAACGTTGTCCATAATTCGAGGCATGTTGCGAATTTCGAGCGCTGCAGCCTCAATTCTGGCCGTCAATTCCTCTAAAGTATCAACAGGATTCTCATAGACTAGACTTTTCATGTGACCCCATAAAAAGTAGTCGAGAGTTGTTAGGTCAGGTGACCGGGCAGGCCAGCTTACTGGACCACCTCTTCCAATCCAGCGTCTTCTGAATGTTGTGTTCAGGTACTCCCTAACTTCGACTGCGAAGTGTGGGGGTGCTCCGTCATGCTGAAACCACATTTGCCGACGAACATTTAGTGGCACATCGTCTAGTAATTCCGGCAAAACTTCTTCCAGGAAATTCAAGTAAATAGGACCGGTTAGTCTTGGTGGCAATACATATGGTCCTATCAAACTGTCGCCGATAATCCCAGCCCAAACATTCACGCTAAATTTGTGTTGATGCCCAATTGAAAATATGGCGTGGGGGTTTTCTTCGTCCCACAAATGATTATTACGTGAATTGAAAAAACCATCCCTGGTAAAACTGGATTCGTCCGAAAAAAGGATTGACCGTGGAAATTGGTGATTTTCTTCATATCGATCCAGCAACCAGCGACAGTATTCCACTCTTGGTGGATAATCAACTGGAAGCAACGGTTGTACTTTCTGTAGATGGAAAGGGTGAAGTTGTTGTTCCCGTAAAACTTTCCAAACATTTACGTGATTTGAATTCAAAGCTTGAGCAATTCCTCGGGTGCTTGCTCTTGGATTTTCTTCGACGAGATGAAGTATATTTTCTTCAAATCTTGGCACGCGACGGTTTCTTTGCCGTCCACAGTTCCTTTTATTAGGTTTGAAACTTGCTGTTTCTCTTAAGCGCGTCTCAATTCGGGCAAAAATCCGGTAAGATGGCGTTCGACGATTTGGAAAACGCTGCGAATACAGACGTTATGCAGCTCTTCCATTACTGCGTGATTCTCCGTAAATTTTTATCATGTCAGTATATTCGTTATTGGTAAAGTCATTCATTGTTTTACCACACTCAATTATACACACTTTACAACACTTAATAAACTCAACAATTCGTGAACTAGCACTCAACAACCTGACATTTGATTGAACGTTCATTTGACAGTTCTGAAGTAATTTATTTCCAGTGGAAACTTGATTTTTAGACGATTTTCAGAGATACCAGGATTTTGTATGTTTTTATTCATAAATCGCCATTTTTCTCGAAAACTATTCACTTCAGAGCATTGAAGCAAGAAGACCTTTTTTGTGTGAAAGATATTAGCGCTTCAGAATGTGCTTTGAAAATTACAATTTCTCCAGTGGCATGAAAGTTTGGGGGGTTAAACCCTTACGAGGCGTTGAACTCTCCGCCACTGACATGTCCAAGGAAATTGCTCGAGAGCCTTACAAGTAGTCATTATTGATGATGAAGTGTGTACACAGGCTCAGCTCTGTAGCTCAAACGGTTCCTGAGATAAGAGCAAAAAACTGAATTTTTTTATTTTTTTTGACGCCCTGTATCTTGAAAACGGAAGCCCGGAGAAAAATTTCGTAAAGGAAAAAAAATATTCTTTTTTTATGAGGAATCTACAGTTTCCCGTTGTGACACTTATTTGTTAACACCCTGTATATCACATATACCGGGTGTCCCATTTTAATCTTTATTTGGAAATTTCTCGAAATGTATGCATCTGACAAAAAAAATTGCCGAATAAAAGTTGTATGGTTTGGAGGGGGACGTCTGATTATAAAACAAGTTTCACCCCCTGACCCCCAGGGGAGTGGGAAATGGAGGTAACATTGAAATCTTTAATGGAAACCCCTATTTTTTATTGCTGATTCTGGAAGAGCATAAAAACTTTGAAGCTTTTATTCGGGAACTTCTTTTTTATTTTCACAAGATGGCGCTGCGATCTTGAAAAACAATATTTTACTATTTAGTTTGTAGTTGGCCACCCAGATCACCCGACTTGACTTCCCTAGACTTCTTTCTGTGGGGTTACATCAAAAACATTGTGTTTCGCGAACCCCCAACCACACGCGAGAATATGAAAGATAGAATTAGAGGAGCGTGCATGGCTTTAACGCCTGCTATGTTGGAAGCAACAGTGCGGAATTTTGAAAAACGAGTGAACTTGTGTATTCAAGAAAATGGAGGTCATTTCGAACACTTGATAAAGTAGTCAATCTCACTTAAAACCAGCTTCAGTCTGACCTAAATGATACCTTAATTGCTGAAACATGCTTATTTTTCTCTTTTCTATGTAGAGATGTTCAAGGTAAGTAAGTTCGTTTAGCGTTAATTTGTCGTGTGAATATCACCCCAATGGCGTTTGTCTGGGAAAATATCACACCCTACACTTTTCCTCGTCTTCAGGGGGTTGAAATGTGTAAATAGTGAAATA